TCTTAGATAGTAAAATTGCTTGCACCAAGTGATCCAATTGCATTCCACACACTTAAAGATATAACAACAAAACCAGAACCCGATTTTAGTGAACCAATCCGATTAGGATAAACAATTCCGATGGTTAAAAAAAAATTTTGGTTTACCATAACGCTCCGGTTTCTCTTGACATTCTTCTGCTTGTTTAGAACCAATTCAGGTAGCAGGGAATCCATAACTCTTAAGATTCTTCCTCGTCATGGGTTGAATCAACATCCTGCCCAAATCATATGCTGGTCCAGGCCAATTATAGTTCCTCCTATATCGGAAATTGCTCAGAAAATATCTTCGTCCATTACCACCGGTCTATAAGTTTCAAGAACAACTTCCACTGACAATCTTATTTTTAGATGAGATCTTGTGAAGAAGCATTGGAATTTTTTGAGTGTAAACGATACCTATTTAGCAAGAAGCTTCATGAGTTACCTATTTAAAAAAGAACAGGCGTATGGGAATCAATTATAGTATCGGTGCTAGTGGAAATATATGGAAAAGATTTAATTAACTCACTGAAATAAGGAGTAGTGGTGATCAGTAATGTCTCAAAATTATATGATATAACACCAAAAAACACTAACAGCCAGAAGTGTTCTCATAGTAAGATGATTTGCACCTTGTATGCTAACCTCTGCAAAAACAAACGAAAGCAACAAAACTACCTTACAGAGAGACACGTGGTTTCCCTATTATCTGACTTGTCACGCCAAGTAGTGTAGAAAGTGACCTGGAATGGATCATCCCCATTAAACTTGAGAGATAGATTACTTATGATGCAAGAAACTCAATGAGGATGTAATTTATAGTACTATTACTTTAACAATGAAGCTTCTTCCACATGCCATTCTTTTCTGTCCTACGCAATGAATTCTCATATGATTGATTGCTCCTCTTCCACTGATGGATAATAAGCATTTCAAGAAACAGAGCAATCATCAACACTTCACAATCAAGAAGAATTTTAAACACAAGTTTGAAGAGAAATGGTACCGTTAAGAAGACGTGTGAAGATGCGGTTAGATTCAGTTTGACTCCAGGTTTTAGAGACATAAGCAGAACCTGATACATCATATAATCAGAAAAATAACTATTTTCTTTATGCTAGTTTAAAACAAAGTTTTTATGCTTGTTTCAAACAGTTTTTTATTAGAAACTTATCTAACTTCTTACTGTTTTGTGATGGTTTCACTGAATCCTTCAATACCTTCTGTCATCAAATATCCCTTTCTCAGTTAACATAGTAACAACAACAACATCGTAAAATACATATTAATTACATGGAACAAAACAATCAAAGAATATGTTAGCTTGTATAACACCAGCCCAGGGCCGGCGCTGAGATTTTGGGGGCTTAAAACATTTCTTAAGAACTCTAAAAATTTTGGGGGCCAAGGTCAATGTTTAGGGTCTTATTCGTAGGTTAAAAAAATTTAAAATTTTTGGGGGCCTAGGCGAATGTTTCGTCCGCCTATGTCCAAATCCGGCCCTGCACCAGCCCAAAAAGAGGCACACCACAAAACAAAATTTTTATATTACCTTGAATGTTTTCCATTTTCTGGTGTAGAATTGTTTCTTTGGATGAGATTCACAAATCATAGTACGTTGAAAATAATTTTTTTTTATTTTTTGGTCAAAAAAATTAAGAGTTTTAGTGAAGTTTGTATATAATTAAAAGTTAAAAAACAGGGAAATGCATAATCATTTATAGATTCGGTTATGGGTTTATGGTTTGTAGCACTTGTCTTCCTTGAATATTTTTACTCCCCCTAAATAAAGAAAAGAAGACAAAAAAAAAAGAACATTCGGAGACTGAGACTTTGGAACAACAAAAAACCTTACTAATACATGGACTGCAAAACCATATAGCAGAGATATCAACTAAACAATCATCAGCTTCAATCTCTAAAGCAAACAATGTGGCAGACACAAACTAACATTGTGACCAATCCAGTTTGTATGTAGTCCCTGTAATAATAACCCAAAAACTAATAGTACTGAAGGAGAGACGCCAATGTTGTTTGGTTGAGAAGTAGAAGCAAACCATATGAATAGCTGCCAGAGGGCTGTTCATGTAATTGTGTGTAATAATAGATATGATTGAAAACATACTCTTCTCCTATGATAATAGCATCACTTTTTTATTTATCCACAACGAATTTGAGGCTGATGTATTCTCGTTCAAGATATTATCATCATCAGTGAAAAAGAAAAAATTCAAAACAAAATCTTCCAACAAAATCGAAATTGAAATCTAAATCATTTCTGCTAAACAAAAGATTTTTAAAGAAATTTGATAATCAATACAGAAATAAAATCCACAAACAAAATTGAAAATTATCATAACCAAGAATCAGGCTATACACGTTGAATGCTGAGATCAGTCGCCGGATATCTAAAAGATACGATGATAAGAAGTATAAGAATAGACATACCTTTGTATCCTGTTAGAGCCTATTAACCAGCATGAGTTCTCCACCCCGACATTCATGGCTTTCCAGAATCTCAGCAATCTTAACACCAACAGTGGAAGACCCGGATTTCAAATCAGAGAGAAGAATTATTTGAGAATAATTTTATATCGCAAGTTAAACAGTTTTAGAAAATGATTTTGAGAGGAGGATGGCTAACCTTTTTATTATCACAGATTCATGATCGCTCATGACTGATGGAGTTAAGAAGGGCTTAAAGGCAATGTTACCGGGAGCGTTTCGTTCAATGAAGAAGAAGATGGAACGACGTTCAATGCGAAAGAAGATGGAACGACGCGAGACAAAACTTTACGAACAGATTCATGACGCCAACGTCACCAACTCAATCTCTCGAAGATCGGAGTGCAAAGAATGTGGTAACCCTAGAATATGTTCATCATAGGATTGGATTTTTTGAGTAAAGCTTAAAAGCCCACATAAAAGCCATAACTCATACTTTTCTCATTTTTTAAATGAAACGAAGAGTAATGTGATTAGACAGATGTCATGATAGGATGAAATGCATTATTGACGTGGCTGAATATGATGGAGGAAAATGCTTCTTTATATATACATAGATATTTTTAATTAGCTTAGAGAGTTCAAACTCTTTTTTTTTAACATTGGATAATTATGCATTACAAATTATGATAAATATTACATAGACGATATTACAGCCGACAATTCTACATGTCTTATGCGGATTCACGTCTGACTGTACCACCCTGAGCTATCCTATGAGATTCATTCCTGATGGTACACCTTAACCTTGCATAGATAAATATTACATACATGATATTACAGCTTGCGCCATGCTGAAGATTTCTTATAAGTTTTTTTTTCAATCTGCATAATTCGTCATTAACCTTCTCCGGGGATTAAAACCCTTTTGGTGTAGAAACTGCGTATCCTTGAATTCGAACCCCAAACCTGGTGTAAAAGTTTTTAAACCTTAACCATTAGGCTACGGTACTTCTACATAGAGCTCAAACTCTATACATATCCATAACTTAAATTTTGGGGGTCTTAGATTAATATTTCGTCTCACTATACTAAAGACCGGCCTTGATCCTCAGGAGTCAGGAGTTCAAGAAGATGGTTTATTGGGAGAGTGAAGTATCTTTTTTGAGAAAAAAAGTATTGTGAGGGTCTTTAGACCAAAATAAAGTATGTTGAGTTTCTCTAACCTTTGTGTAGTGAGACTTGCTCCCGAGGAGACGTCGGTTAAACTGACTCTGTTTGAGCAGAATGCTGTAACATGTATAGGTACGAAGACAAACATACCGGTAAGTTTGTTTTCAAACAGTTATTTCCGTGACTGAATTAATTAAATATCTGTTTGAAGCTGACCGACTTTTCTGCACCCTGCACTTATTTGTCATATTGTGGTGACTGGTGATCATCTCTGGGTGCTTGCTCACTACTGGTACAACAGTCTGTACACGCTATTAATTACATATTAGACATGTGTAAGACATGGGCGTATCATGAGGGTAACCTCTACCCACTTGTGTTTTCTTCTCCTAGACAAACAGTTTTGTGGTGTCTTTCGTATTCATAGATACTTAAAGAGAGTTTTCTCATTCACACACATGTGCTTGCCAAGCATTTCCAAGACATTACAGTCTATGGCCTGTCCTAATTGTCAATGAGGCCTGGAAGGCTAAAATGGCCAATCGACACAACTAGTTTTCTTTTTTTGTGTGTTACTTGTTTCTCTAAGTCGGTGATGGAGGTGTGGTACATTTTAACACTGTTTGCATTTGATACGGACCCAAAGTCAGTTGAGCATTTCTTGTTGGGTCATGCCTCATTGGATCTTTAGTACTTTCCCGTTAATAGTGAAAATTAGAACCTCTTTTTCACTGTTGGATACCTTTTAAACTACCAGTAGCAGAGTTGGTATAATAGATTAATCTTTTGAGTGTTATAAATAATCTTAGACTCGTACACTACTGCGTTGATGTATTGGATCATGCCATCTTCGTTTCCCTTATGTGGAAATGGCCCACTTCAGACAACACACTATTTGTGCTATTGTGACACATCATCCTTTCAAAATCATCTTTAGACCCAGTATTAATGGGTTTTCCCTTTTGGGTAATCAGTTTTGTTGCTTTGTTCTCATAATAAAATCATGGATTCCACTTCTTTTTGGGAAGAGTGAAATGTTATTTGGAAAATTCACAGAGTTTGAAGATCGTTTACGAGAGAATGTAAAAATAATGCTTCATATTTGGACTTTAATATTATTTTCGTCATTTGTCCTAATTAAATAGTTTACCATTGTAACTTGATGAAGTGTTACGGCTAGCTTAAGATTTGAGCTGCAATGAGAGTGTGTACCTCTCAAAGGCAATGGTATACATTATAATGATGTCCGTCAGTCGGCCCTAGAATGTATGGGGTTTGAAACAAATATAAATGATCAGTAACATACTTTTAATCAATTCGGGGGGAATGAATTATACATATTAACCATCTCGCTCTTGCCCATGACCGGCTCTGACCTGTTACTTACTAGTTACTACTTAAGCTACTTGGAGCTAAACTTCATGTGAAGAGCTTTAAGTGCCAAATCCATATGTAACGCTGCAATTTGATGAAAATAGTGCAGCTTGTTTGTTCTAAGAATGAATCGAGAACAGAAAAGTTGGTCACGTATATATTATTATATATAGGACAAGAGCCATTACAACCAGTAACATGGTGAATGCATATATATGAATAAAACAGTATATATAAATAGAGTTATGGATCGGGTAGTTACGCCCTCTCGTTGTGGATGGGAGGCTTACGATGAGGCTGAGGATAGTCCATGACCACTACTTCCCCTGTCTTAATTCCACTAAGCTCTCTCCTCCTTCCTCCACCATGTACGAGAGAAGCAACCTTGAGGTGATGCTTGTGAAGCCCTAGTCGACGAGCACTGGCATATCCAACGTTGGATGACAAAAGCAAAAGAATGATACATAACACCATGGCGAGTCTAATCTTCACAGAACAAGGCATGACCTCTCTTCTTTTTCTTCTTCAAATACTTATATTTATGTTGTCTAATAAAGAGATATGAGAGCAGGAAAAATATAGTTTAATTCGAAATGTGTTCTAAGTGTAAGAGGAGAGAATAGGGAAGGAGTATTTGTAGGCAGAATCAGAGAGATAAATAAGAGAGTAAAGGGAATAAGACAAACATTGAATGCAGGTGGGGAGGTCCTTCATTATCATAACATGCTCTTGTTCCTCTCTTGTCCATTTTTTTCCAAATATATTCACATTCATTTCTGCATTTATATACAAGTATATATCGTATTCGTATGCATAGTGGGTGTCTTGATCGGCCAAACCTTTTGTCTACTTGAGGGTCTTCGTGGGGTCAGTTTCTTGTTTTCCTTCTTCCATTTCCTAAGCTAATTCTTCCCCTACCCATCATTATTGTATCGAACTATTACATCTTCAAGGGGAATCAATTCAGAAATGTAGAACAGATAACATAATTATTTAACATTAATTCTCAAGTCTTAGTCAGTGATAATCAAATTTTGAATTATTATGCGCTTTCTCCACCGATTCCCATAATTTACTCAAACCCGAAACTACATCATAAAATATTAATTTTGTGCCAAGATCACTAGATTTTATGATCTCTATGCTTTGACATATTCACTGCTCCAATTGAGGTAACAAAATTTTGTGATAATTATCTTATTATGGCATATTATTAGACATACTACATAACATCCACTTTTATTCAGGTAATAAAGTTCACAAAAGAAAAACTTTGTTTCTCTTGGTTGGCCATCCGCTTTTAAACTTCGACGTCATACAATTTTTTTTTTAAAAAAAATTCCTAGAGAATTTGATATAATATGAGAGTTTAAAAATTTATAGTATATGAAGCTATCTTTCTAAATTTGATTTTGACAGATCTAGAGATAGTAGCTAGTGGTTTTTGGCTACATCTGCGATAGTTAGCTTGGTGTTCTTTATCCTAGATCTTCTCGGGGTCTTCTACCTTGGAACATATGGTGATTGAATGAAAAGAGTTAGAACTTGTTCTTCTGGTTGGTATCGGTGGATCTGATGTAGTGTGTCAACAACAGTTCCACATATGGTTTCGTCTTTAGTCACTAGTTTGTTTTGTCTTTTTAGTCTTCAGACGAGTTTTCTTTGGTCTTTGTGCATTTTGGTGTTCAGGTTTCTATCTCTATTAATCTGTTTAAGATTTTAGGTTCTATAGTTTATGTTTTGTTTACCAAAGTTAATACTGAAAACAATCGGCAGAAGCAATCAAAGATAATATTTTCTCTAAATTATGAGAAGTGTTCTATCATACTAAAAGTTATTAGAAATCCATCTACTAGTGTTTAGTTTTTTATGAGATTGTTAATTTACCATTAAATATTATATGCCCTATTTTCAATGTTTTTTTTTTGTTATGAAACTTACCTAATTTCAATGTTAGGAAGACCATTAGCTTTTTCTTAAAATTTCATATGTCAATTTTATTCTATGATGTAATGGTCTCAAACCAATTTTAATAACAAATATTGTATAAAAAGTTTACTAGTGATGTCTTTGGATTAAACACTATATTAGCTAATGAGCATTGCATACTCTTCACTTGATCCAAAGACATCACTAGTAAGACTTTTTATACAATATGTTTTCCCTAAAACAGTCTTAGGTTATTGAGTCTTTGCATCCAACTTCCTTCCACTCAACGGTCAAAAGTAACTCACTTTCCCCAAAACACACACAACCGCGTATTTCATGTTCCACGTGACCGGTTGGGGTGCCTTAAATGAGAATCTCCCAGGATCATAGGTTCATTATATGTTATATCTTAGGCTCTTAGCTAAAACTTTTGATAAAAATTAACAAAGAAACAAAATTAATACTGAGTGTAAAAATTAGAACATTACAGCATGGTCCGACCGTCAACGACAATGTGGGACTCTTTCTTAACATCACCGGCCGTCCTCAACCGGCACCGACCGTGTTTGTCACGTGGTACAATTCCTGGTGCTGCTGTTTTATCTAGTTGGGCCGATACGCTTTTGTAACTACCATGTGCCCTCACGGCATCATGTGATGTCGGCTTATAGAGTGAAAGATCAAAAAGACGCAATCATATGGAAGAAAAAGGGAATAAGAGAGTATATTATTAATATATACATTATTTTATGTTTACTGTACACATTAACGCCAAACCGACAGTTCTTAGAGAAGTACAAACGCTCTTTGCTTAGATAATCAAATGAGATGAAATATCCAGCAAGAGATTTATGTTGATCCAAATGTGTTTTCTCCGCTATAAGTGACATAGAGGAACCCATCATCATCCTTTTTCTCTTCATAGACAGCAGACATCAGAGCACCTGCAAAAAGTTATCAGATAAACCAGTTTAAAACTTCCTATGTTCACTGGAATGATCTTTTTTGCTTGTTTTATAAGATGACAATCTTTGATTATACAGGAGATCGTGATTTGTTTTACCTGTTGGAGGAAGAACATTGTCGACAAATATAAAGATAGCCTTTTCTGAACTGAGTTGGATTCTTTTGCGAATGACATACACAAATTGCCCCACTGTCAAATCAGCCGGGACTAGGTATCTACAACAACAACAACAACAACAAAAAAGGCTTAGTTGTCAATCACAAGTCAAGTCCGAATCAGGTGGATACTGATTATCAATACTTTTTCTTGTCGATGGTTGGTATATCACTCTTCTCAGCCTTCTCAACAATCACCTAGATCCCACACAAAATACAAATATGTGTGACGATCTGAATAATGCAAATCAACTCAGTAAGTCGTAAATGTCACTAATTAGCAGCATTTAATAAGAATCAGTTCCAAACTAAACTAAAGTCCTAATGTAATTATACACAACTACGATTCGGACATCCCCAGGTAATGCTTGATACAGTTCCAAACATGTATCACGAGCATGAAGCTAATCAATCAGGCAAAATAGTAACTTAATAATCAACCGTTAGTCCGAACATGGAAAAAGGAACAGGAAACAATATTCAAATGAAAGAAGACTTTGTAAGAAAAACACATAGGTCTCTCACCGGAATCCTATCTGAATATTTCTCTCTAATCCGAGCAGCCTCTGCCCTTCTCTTCTCTGAAGGTTCAAAATCATTGGATCAAAAGCGAGAATCAAAACACCAAAAAAAAAAGAGCAAGAAGAAAGGTAGAATCAACACAAAACCTAGGTCATGCTCTTCCTTGAACGTGCTTTTTGCCATTACTTCCACTCCTACACAGATACATAAGAAACCACTTACGCCACCATCAAAAACTAATCGAATAATCAAGTCCCAAAAAGAATACAAATTCTCAGAATGTCCTAAAAGCTACAGTCTTCGTACCTAGATCGACATAGAAATGGAACCTTCAAGTTATCTAAAACAAGTCCGAGATCAGAATAAGAGTATTAAAAATCCATGATCGAACCTGCTGTTGGCGAAGCTGTTCTGCGATGAAAACACTTCTCGAGAGCTCAACGCTTTCTTTTCGTTTAAGATAATCAAGGAACACAAAAGAAATAAAAGCAAAAAGGCAAAATAAACAATTTCCGAAAAAAATATGGAATTTTGTGATAAGGCAAGTAATTTCGTACAGATGGAGCATGATAATATCTAAACTCCTCAGCTGACGTGGTATTGTGTTTCTAGAAAATCGACGAGAATCAGACGGTGTAGAGAAGTTAACAGCGGAAAAATGAATCACAACCGTCCGTAGTACTGACGATGTCCGAGGAAGCTGCGTACCTTAATATTTGCTTAAGAAAAAGGATAAAGAAGAAGCCCCGCATATGACGGGATCACGTTTCTGCATATGATATGACATACTTACCCCCCTAAAAACTGCGCGTTATGATGAGTACGGAAGGGTAACTAATGGAATTGTGCTTTTTATTTGCTTTAAAGTGACTCCTTGATGAGGCCTATTTGTGTATTGAAGGCCCGTTTAAGTTCGTTTACTTCCGTTTTACCAACATGTCTTAACAACTCCGGACTCTTGACGTGCCTACTTGGGACAATGAAGGCTAGGGACCTAGGCATTTTATCCGTTAAAATTGATTCGTGATTCGTTTCATTTTGATTCCAAAATTTTGGATATTTATAAATTTTCAAAGTAAAGCAAATACTAAAAATTAATATTCGTTAAAATCAAAGTAAATTACAAATATTAAAATTTTGAATAGCGGATATCTGTTCCGATAGGGTAATATATAAATACATGTATATCTTGATAATATTTAAAGTTTAAAATATATAAATTATATAATTATTATTATGATATTTAATTCGACAAATTCTATTTACATTATTACTTACTAGGTATGGACCCGCGCTTTGCACAAGTTTTGACTGATGCTTTAGTTTCTTGAAAAATATAAAAATGAGAATTTTCTTTCTTAATTATAGTATTTTTGCTTATATTATGTGAAACTTATATTGAGGAATAAAATGTATTTTAAATAAGTTTTGTTTGGTATTTATGTGCATAAGAAATTATTAGCAACCTTCTACTTAATCTGAAAAAATAAGACTCAAAAATTCAAATCAAACCCAACTCCGCATAAATATGAATCATAGTGAAATACAATGAATTAGAAAGTTGAATCAAGGAAATCAAATCGATGACTATGTTATACACATTTTATGTTCTTAATTTAGTATTTATATTAAATTTTATGTTATTCTTGTTGTTCAGACATATTCTAATGTTTCCATGATCATTACGTTAATTTTTGTGCATTTATTGTTATCTATATATACATTTGGTTGATGGGTCGACGTCTATTCATTTTTGAAGTATCTCCAACCCCGCTTTGTATATTTTCATATATTTTTTCTTAAAATACATATTTTATTACTGAGAAGAACATTTCCATTGTATTAATCTATTATATAATTTTTCTACTTTTAGGGAGAATATATTTTAATGATATTTTAACCTATATATTTAGAGACTAAAGTAGCATATCTCTGTATTTTATTTTAAAAGTAGAGATACTCTATTACAAAATCACACATTGGACAAATTCTACCTATATAATATAATTTGTCTATTTTAAGTTGAAAATATATAGATGAATATATAGGAGAATTAGAAATGATCTTAGTTTTTAGTAAATGAAAAATATTCGATCACCAATTTTTATCTTGTAATTTTAGAGGTAATGAAACTATTAACACCTTATGTAGTTTGATACTTCTTTGATTCTTGTAGCCACAAATATATATGTAAAAAATGAAAATCATGTGTCTAAATCATGATTATGTGAATAGTTGTTTATGAATAATATTGTAAAAGCTATATGAAAATAATTTTTTTAAATAAATCATGTCATAATATTAAAATATTTATTACCATGTGTCAATCATATTAATTAGAAACTTTAAAACCCAATTTTTTATAAGAGAAAATATATAAATATTAAATTTATGATCTTGTAAAAAACTAACTATCGAATAATTGTATATTTATAAAGAAAATCACTATTAAATATTATAAGAAAAATCTAATATTGTAATTACTTTTGTTCATAAGGAAATTGTTTATCTTAAATCAATGTCTAGTAATTTTGTAATTGTTTTAAACTCATATATTTTACTTTACCTTAAAAATAAGGTTCTTTTTTTTTTGTTCAAAAAATAAGGTTCTTTAAGAAAAGGGATACTACAACTAAAATAAAATTAGGATTCTGTAATTATTTTTAAACCAATACTTTTTTTTAACATTTCAAATAAGATACTGTGAAAAGAAATAATTCTTTTTTACAACTCTCTTTTGTTTAATAGTTTTAACAGGAAAATACTATTAAATATTTATAATAAAATATTTTTTTAATTTGTTTTTAATTGAAGGAAAGTTATCTTAAAATAATGTTTTGTGTTTTGTAATTACCTCAAACCCACAATTTTGAAAAGAAATGCTATTATTAAAATTATTTATATGGAAATATTTTTTATTTTTCATTTTTCTGTTTAGGAATTAAAAATAAAAGAAAACCAAATTTTTAAATTCTTTTGCTTTAAGTTTTTTAAAGGAAAATTATTATCTTACAAATGTTATAATCTTAAATATATAATTAACATGTGTCGCGGTCATGTTAATTAGAAACTTTGAGAAAAAAAACTCTTTAATAATTGTATATTTATAATTTATAACTGAGATTGTAATTGTAATTTGTTACTTTTCATGTGGTATCTAACTATCAGTACGAAAGTACATGCGAAGGATATCTAGTTATTCTTCAACATGTGATATCCAAAACAAAAAAAAACAACACACAAAGATGTGAAAGAGCAAGATAAAAAAGTCATTGTATATTTTTCTTGAATCTATAAATTACGTTTCATGATCAAATATGAGAGATCTTAGTCCTATATATATAGATGCGAAAATTGTAATTCCTTTTAGTTTATGATATTTTTTTTATGATTTGAATAAAGAAAAGCTAACATGAAACACAAACGGTAGTTCCTTTTTATTTATGGTCATTTTGATTAGGATTTGAATAAAGAAAATTAACATTAAACACTCTTTTACAATTTTTTTTTGGTTTAATATTTTAGAAAAGGATAATTACAATCAAATATTTTTATACAATTAGATTTACTTTATGATTTTAGAAAAAGAAAATTAGTATTAAATAATTGTTTTTAGAAATCGTTTTTGTCATAGGATTTGTAAAAACGAAAATACTTTATAAAAGAAAATAAGTCATTGTACAAATTTATTTTGGTATAGCATTTTCAAAAAAAAAAAAAAAAATTTAAATCATTTTTATTAACTTATTTTCGTTTTATTAACTTATCTTATATATTTTATTTAGCATGGGATATATTTTAACAGTTCACAATTTTGAAAGAAAAATTACAGTTTTTTGGTTTAAAATTGTTAAATAGGATAATAATTATCAATTTCTTTTACAATTATCTTTTCTTTATGTTTTTAGAAAAGGAAAATTAGTCTTAAAGAAATTATTTCTAAAAATAATTTTTGGTATAGGATTTGTCACAACGAAATACTGTAGAAAATAAAAGGGAAAATTCCATATAAATACCCCAACTAAATTTTATTAAGCTTTTTAATACCCAAACTTTTTCACTACCCAATTTAATACCTCAACTAATAATTTTTTCCACTTTAATATACAAACCTTTATAATTGTGCCCATTTTAATACCCAAACTTTGTTTATTTTAATTAACAATATTAATAAGTTTCAAACAAAAATTTTAAAAATCTCCAAAATCTAAGAAAAAATATTTAAAATTTATAAGTTTACTCTAAGATTTAAGAAATAAGGTAAATAAACTCTAGAGAAAATTTAAATGTTTACAAAAAATTATTTTGAAGGAAAAAAAAATAATTTACTTTTTTATTTCAGAAACAAACTAAATTCAATATATAAAACTTAAAAAACTTTTTACAAAACTTAAGATTATAAAAAATTTATTTAATTTTCCATAACATATAATAAAATCAATTTTTTTTGTAAATTTTAGAAATTTTAAAAATTTTATTGGAAATTTATTCGTATTGTTAATTAAAATAAATAAAATTTGGGTATTAAAATGGGCACATTTATAAAAGTTTGTGCATTAAAATGGGTAAAATAATTAGTTAGGGTATTAAACTGGGTAGCGAAAAAGTTTGGGTATTAAAAAACTTAATAAAATTTAGTTGGGGTATTTATATGGAGTTGTACAAATATTTTTGGTATAGGATTTTCTAAAACAAAAATTACTATAGTTTTGTTTTTTTTTTAAAAAAAAATTTTACTAACTTATCATAGTTTGTAATATATTTTTTATATTAATCATGAAATATATTTTAACACAATTCATAATTTTAAAAAGAAAATTACACAATTTTAAAAGGAAAATTACTATCAAAATATTTTTCACAATAACATTTTTTTGTTATAATCTTGAGAAATATATTAACACTTGTCACAATTTTAAAAATATAATTGACATGAGTTGCAATTGTGTTAATTAGTAACTTTGAAGAACCAAGCTTTATATAATAGTATATAAAAGTATTTCATAAAAAGCAGAGAAAAAACTTATAACAATTATAATTTATTTCTTAAGTTTTGTGTTATTATAACTGTTAAATTAGTTTAAATGTTTTTACAAATTATGTGGATTTACTACTTCTTTTAATTTTAATTTTATATGTTATGAATTTTGTTTTTACAAAATAAATTTGTTTCAAATTTTTTAGATTATCTGTATTAATCAATATGAGATATCTATAAGTATTCGTAAATATCTGCAAATATCTATTTATTTTCTGGATATCTGTTTCTCCAAATATCTGTATTTTTGCGATGAAAAAAATCAAAAAATTAGATCTCTATAATATTATTTGAGAAGTCACTTTCTTATGTGTCGTAATCACGTTAACTCTCACGCTGGTTGATTACTATGATACCCCTAATGAATTTAAAAAATACATTTAAATATTATTATTTCCTTTTAAAAAATTTTCAATTAACAAGATAAAATAAAAAGGAAACATATATAAAATTTACAAAATTATTTAAAAACGAAAATATAAGTATATATAAATATGGTTTCATAAAAAAGGAAAGTTCACTAAATAGTAATACTTAATTTAAATATATTTTAAATAACATAAAATATACTTTTGAAGTAATAAAATACTTTATATCTATATCTTCTTAAATGAAAAAACAATATTTGCATATAATTTGATTCCATGAAAAAAGTTCACACAATTAATATTGATATTAGAAAAAAGAAATATTTTTTTTTCTTTACAAAAAATAATTTTAAACAATATATATATATATATATATATATATATTCAAAGTAATTATTTTTGTAGATATTTATCTATTTTATTAGATGATTACATAAAATAATTAAGTAACATAAACTGATATATGTTTAACTGAAACTTGTTTTTATAATTAGCATTCTTGAAATATTTTTTAGTATATTTATTTGATTATAATATCTTACAATTACAGAAAAAAATATAAATTCTATTTTAATTATATAATATAATTTCACAAAAACAATAACATTTTTATTGCATATATTAAGAGATATTAAAAACAAAACTAAAAATAAATTTTAAGGATAATTTTGTTTTGATCAAATAGCTACAATTATTTTAAAATATCATAACACTATATAAATTAATGAAGTAGATAGTTAAAATTATATAGTTGAATTTAGAGAAATAGATAAAATCTAATATATCCAAATGATAATTAAATCAACCTTAAAAACAATAAAACTAAATCAACCGTAAAAATAGTAAAACTGACGAAATCTAACATATCTAAAGTTATATATATAATTAAATTAATATAATATTATTAATATAAATTATGCCTATAAACTATAAAATAAGTTTAAATTTAAAAGTAAATATCAATCAATTATTATAATAAATTTATTTTCCAAATATTTATGTCCGTGCATGAGCACGGGAAAATCACCTAGTATACATAATATACGAAGCAAATCACAAATATCTTCAACATTTCGGATATCCGATTAGTATCCATGCCTAATGAAGACAACCGTTGGTCCCAAAAAGAGATATTATCGGCACATATAAATAATACATATCCAAAACAAAGATTCATATAAAATTTGTCAAAAAAAAGACAAAGATTCATATAATGAGCTGTGTCTAATTATGTCTAACTTTATCAAAAAAAAAGAAAATTACTATAACTTTTTTTTAAAAATAGTTTTTAATCATTTTTATTAACTTATTTTTGTTTTATTAACTTATCTTATATATTTTATGAAGCATGGGATATATTTTAACAGTTCACAATTTTGAAAGGAAAATTACAGTTTTTGGTTTAAAATTGTTAAATAGGATAATAATTATCATTTTTTAAAATTATCTTTTCTTTATGTTTTTAGAAAAGGAAAATTAGTATTAAAGAAATTATTTGTACAAATAAATTTTGGTATAGGATTTGTCAAAACGAAAATACTTTAGAAAATAAAATAAATTGTTGTACAAATCTTTTTGGTAAAGGATTTTCTAAAACGAAAATTACTATAATTTTTTTTTTTTAAATCGTTTTTATTAACTTATCATAGTTTCTAATAATTTATCCTTTTTTATATTAATCATGAGATATATTTAACACAATTCACAATTTTAAAAGGAAAATTACACAATTTTAAAAGGAAAATTACACAATTTTAAAAGGAGAACTACTATCAAAATATTTTTCACAATGACCTTTTTTGTTATATTCTTGAAAAACATATTAACACATGTCACAATTTAAGAAATATAATTGACATGTGTTGCAATTGTGTTAATTAGTAACTTTCAAGAACCAAACTTTATATAATAAGATATAACAGTATTACATAAAAAGCAGAGAAAAACTTATAACAATTATAAATTATTTCTTAAGTTTTGTGTTATTATAATTGTTATATTAGTTTAAAATTTTTACAAATTATGTGGATTCACTACTTCTTTTAATTTTAATGTTATATATTATGAATTTTTTTTTTACAAAATAATTTTTTTCAAAATTTTTAGATTATTTGTATCAATCAATATGAGATATCTATAAGTATTCGTAAATATCTGCAAATATATATTTATTTTCTGGATATCCGTTTCTCCAAATATCTGTATTTTTTCGAAGCAAAGCAAATCGAAAAATTAGATATACCTAACATACGAAACAAATCACAAATACTTTCAAAATTTCGGATATCTGACTCATACCCAGGCCTAATGAAGACAACCGTTGGTCCCAAAAAGAGATATTCTCAGCACATATAAATAATACATGTCCAAAACAAAGATTCATATAAATTTTGTCAAAAAAAAAGACAAAGATTCATATAATGAGCATTGTCTAATTTAGATATGGATCGCCTCTCCGTGATATTTACAGGAAGTAGGTGTAGTTGTGGCAGTTTAATGTCAAATCTTTTTACATACTTGGGCCACAAGTGTGCGTTGACATGAGAATCATTGGGGTTACATGTGTTAATCAACTGCTACCAAATAGGGTAGGCAAAAGAATAAGAGGAAGGACAAGCTGCCCCACATGATAGAGAGTTCTATTGGGTTAGATAACTATCAAAAATAATATCATGTCTGGCCCAATGAGCCTTAAAGTAAAAAAATATAAAATTAAACACAATTTGGGGATCTCTTGCTCTCTACATATTCCAAACAAATCCAATTCGTCATCGTCACTTTCCTTCCGATCAAGTTCCCCAGCGTTGATATTCTGGTAATCGAACTTTCCTAATTGATTCGATTCTTAATTTCATCCTTCTCTTGAGTCATTCAGTTTCATCAAACAAAAACCCTCATTGGTTAACGAATCTTTAGTTTCTCCCTTCGATTAGGGTTTCGGAATTCACCAATTTTCGGCAACCCGTATCAAATTTCGCAGTTGATTCAGCGTTAACCATGGGAGGCCACGGTGGTTTGAACATCCTTCCGCAGAAGCGGTGGAACGTCTACAACTTCGACAACAGAGAGAAAGTCCGCAAAGACGAGGAAGCCGCCGCCAAGGAAGCTCAGATTCAGCGCGAGGAAGCCAGAAAACGAGACGCCCAATCTCGCCTCGAGGTTCTCCGTAACGTCCGCGGCTTAGCTCCTCTCAAACGTCCTTCTCCCGAGGCAGAGAAGGGTAAAGACTCCGCTCCAGCTCCTGCTCCTGCTTCTCCTCCCAAGACGGCTGCTGTGAAGATTGCTGAGCCCGAGGAGCCAAAGACTGGTCACATCAATCTCTTCGAAGGGATTAAGATCTTCGATCCCATCGAGTTGCCGAAGAAGGATGATAAGCCTGCGGATGAGGAAGATCACAGAAGGAAGAAGATGAGGAAAGAAGCTGCTGCGACGGCAAGAGCCTCCGCGAAGGATGCTGCAGCGAGAGCAGGGGATCCCGATGAGGAGAAGTATAGGTTGGGGTATGGTGTTGCTGGTAAAGGAGTGAAGCTTCCTTGGTACGTTGAGAACAAACGTAAGTATGAAGATAGAGTTGGTGGTCGTGGTGAGGAGGATGGTGGACTTAGAAGTGAGTCTAAGAAGAAGAGTGGGAAGAAGAGCTTGAAGGAGCTAAGAGAAGAGAGGTTGAAGAGGGAGAGGGTTGAGAAGGAAAGAGAGAGAGCCCTTTTCATGAAACAGAGTCAGAGAAGTGGTGGCTTTTCACGTAGATGAGAGAGCTTCGTCTTTTTTTCTTTACCAAGTGTTGCCCTTTCCAAGGTGTACTTATATATTAATTCACACTTCATGATTAAATTAGTATCCAAACTTAATTCTTGTACATTATTTGTGTTGATAGAGTCATGGTAGATAGTTTGGAGAGTGATAGGTCTCTGAGTATCGAGGAATCAGAAGTTTATCAGTTCCTAGCATGGTTGTTTGTTAGTTTCCTTGTAGCATTTAGACTTTTAAGTTGGAGCGTATGTGTTTGATATGTGCACTTGTTTCAGTTTTGAGTTGGTAGCTGATAGTCTCATTGGTTCAAACTAGAACAGGAAACGTCAGACTTATAGTCTTCTAATAAGAACAGTTAGATTGTGAAATTGTGCGATTAAAATGTCTATTCGTCATCTAACAATACGTGTATAGATGTTCCAAGATCGAAAAATGGAAAGTAAACCTTAACTTGTTGCTTAGTTACTCCATTTGTACTGGTAGAACGATGGTAAGATAATTTAGAGTGCATTTTGTGGACATGGCAGTCCATTGTCGTGTCCACAGACGCCTGCCTTACACATCTAGTTTTCGTGCTTGTTTCTCTAAGTCGGTACAAGAGATGCAGATAACACATTTCTGTTTGTCCAACTCCTTGTTCTATATATTATTTTCACAAACCAATATAGGCCTGGGATTTCGGGTTGGTTCTGGGTAAACTGGTTATTTGGAAATTCTATCCAATGGGTATTTGGTTGACTTACCGTTTGGTATCGGATCAGTTATGGTTCCGGGTCGGTTCAGATTTTTGAAAAATATAACTATATCGAACCCTAATAATCGGTTTGGTTAAAAAAATACCTGAAACCATAAGATTGTCCGAATTAAAAACCAAAACACCCACAGTCATACCAAATTTTGGACAATGAAAATGTCAAATGGAACTGAACCATTAAAAAATGTCAAAGCAAATCAAACCAGAAAATATAACATAGTTTTGAAACATCAACAATGAAGCAAATCACACAAGAAACATAAGTACTTAAGTCTTATTAAAAAGAAAGAAGCAAATCACACCAGAAACATAAGTACTGAAGTCTAATTAAAAAGAACAAAGTGAAATCTTGTCTTCTCAACACCAAATGATGTAGCCATTCCCACTCGTATGGTCATATTGTCTGATCAACACCCAAACTATTTTACTGTGCGAATTTATACCTAATCTAATACAAATTTTGTATTTAGTATCTGAAGTATAGTCATATTGTCTGATCAATACCCAAACTACTTCATTGTGCGAATTTATACCTGATCTAATAAAAAATTTGAATTTGATACCTGAACTTGTAAAAACCGACTTTTACATACTTGCAACTGATAACGTGTTAGTATTATGCTGAGGTTGACCGGTTTCTTGATAAGTTGGTGTTGTTTAAAAAAAAACCAAAATGAGGCTGCCTTGGTTCGAATCCGTTTCCGAACATATTCATAATAATTTCATTAACCGCTTATGCTGGATAAGATCCAAATGACCTTTGAATGGTGTCTCTGTCTATCACCATCCTGTCTCAAAATGATTCATCAAATCTCATATAATTAATCGTTGTTTTGATGAAAAAAATTGATGAGATTTGATGAAATGAGATTAAAAAATGATTATATGAGATTTCATGAATGAGATCCAAAACAAAAAGAGATTTAATGAATCATCTGAGATATGGTTGTGAGGAACAGAGACACCACTCAAAGGTTATATAGTTGTTTTGGTACAACAAAACGAAAAATCTTTTCTAGCATAAACGGTTATTGTCATTATTATGTTTATGTTTGGGATCCGGGTTAAAATCAAGTTGTTTTTTTTTTTTTTAGTTTTTATATTTTTTTTAAAACAACGCCAACTCATCAAGAAACTGGTCCACCTCAGCAGAATACCGACATGTTGTCAGTCGCATGTATGTAAAAGACAGATTTTATAAGTTCAGGTACTAAATTTAAAATTTTTATTAGAGCAGGTACAAATTCGCACAGTGAAATAGTGTAGGTATTGATCAGACAACATGACCATAGTTCAGGTATTAGATTCAAAATTTGTATTAGATCAGGTACAAATTCGCACAGTAAAATAGTTTGGATATTGATCAGACAATATGACCATAGTTCAGGTACTAATCAGCCGTTTTCCCTCTAATACATAGTATCCAATTTCAAACTCTAGGCAATAAAAAAAAACAGTAAGTGGTAAAGTGGTAAACTTAAAGAATTAAGATCATATTTTAAAGAGTTCTAAAGTGGTAAATCATACCTTTCATAAAATCATCTTGTTGCTCCATATCTGAAAGTAGTTGTTATATTGTATGAATGCTTTTTGCATTCATATGAATCTCAGATTTCAATCATTGTTTCGTGCAAACCAACACCTCCACCATAAAATGAGTCAAACAAGTTCGTTAAGGGTTTAATACTCTCCCCCTTGTGCTGAAAGTATTTTCTGATGCTACTGATGATACTTGAACCACAAGAATATCAGCAGCTATTAGAGACATGATTGGGAACTTCACACTGTTTTTTCTCCACCAATAAAACATCAAAGTCGCTTCCAAGTCAAACACCAACTTTTGTAATCTCTACTTTCTCTTTCAAATACATTTCTAACTCATTACTAGTCTTGTGTACCGGTTTCTAGTACAAGCTCCTTGTAGAGATTATCCATTCTTTCATAACCAATGTCATTGCCAATACCTCTACTCTGAAGAACTGCACCACTATTTTGAGTTTAATTTTGAGAAGATGAGCCTCCTCCTTGTGACTGTGTGTTAGGAAATCTAGGTGAAATTTTTGCGAGAACTAGAATTTATAGGAGCGGGAAGATACACACAAAATTGTTAACGGAGTTCGGCCAATCGTGCATATGTCTCCGGAGCTGCTACAGATCTTTTATTATCAATCTGAGAAATTTTACAATGCTCTCAGCTTACATCCGATCCCAAGTACACTCAAGAAATTAAGTGTAATTTCTTACAAATTCACAAGAATTGTTTTTTGTATTTTTCTCTCTTGCACACTTTTTTTTCTTGTTCTCTCTCACTCTCTTTTGTTTTGGGATGTCTTTGCTCTTCACCTTCGTTGGCTATTTATAGAAGAAGTGAAGATGTGTGAAAGCCACAATTGTTGACGAAAATGATGTATACAGAGTCTATATAAGTTTGTTTATGTTGATGAGAAAAAAATGATGTATGATTCTTTTGTTGACAATCCATCACCGTCATCACTGGCCAACACAAAAAACGTGTTCTTTGACTAACAATCTCCCACTTGAAGACTGATTTCAATCTCTCTTCACACATTGATCAATGTATCAGGTCTTCCCGGCTTATTACTCCAACAAGCCAACTGAGGTTTGCACACAACCTCAGCTTCTAACGCGGCATGAACTTCGTCAGAATGTCTGCCGGATTTTCCTGGGATCTTCTCGAGCACCAACATTTCATCTTCTAACGCTGATCTGATGAAATTATATCGATGATGAATGTGCTTTGTGTGAGCATGGTAAACTGGATTCTTTGCCAAGTCTATGGCACTCTTACTATCATAGTACAACACACTTTTTCTTTGGTTATGGTCTAACTCTTGTAAAAAAGACTGTAACCTCATCATCTCTTTTGCTGCCTCTGTCACCGCAACATACTCAGCTTCACAGCTTGATAGAGATTCAATCTTCTGCAACTTTGAAACCCAACAAATTTCAGTACCGCCAAAAGTGTAGACATACCCGGTTGTGCTCTTCGTGCTGTCAACGTCACCTCCATTGTCAGCATCAACATATCCTTGCAATCCCATCTCAGACTTCGTGAAACATAGTGACAGACTTGGATTTCTTTTCAGGTATCTGAAAATCCACTTAACGGCTTCCCAATGTCCCTTTCCTGGATTGCTCATAAATCTGCTAACGACTCCCACTGCATGCGCAATGTCATACCTTGTACATATCACCGTGTACATTAGGCTGCCTATAACAGAAGCATATGGAACTTTATCCATATGTCATCTCGTCTTCCGTCTTTGGAGACTGTTCTCTGGATAACCGAAAATGACTTGCCAGGGGAGGTTAAACCTCTTGAAGACATTCTTCACATACTCCTATTGTGTATCTTAAGACCTTCCTTGCTCCTACTGATTCTCATCCCAAGAATCTGTCTTGCTTCTCCAAGGTCTTTCATCGCAAACTCTTCTGAGTTTCTTCTTCAAGCTATTTATCTCATGCAAGTCCGCTACTACTATCAGCATGTCATCCACATATAGGAGCAATATCAAGTAGGACTCTTCAAACCTCTTGAAGTAACAACAGTGGTCAGCCTCGCACCTCAAGAAATGAACACCTTTCATAAAGTTATCGAACCTTTTATACCACTGTATTGGAGCTTGTTTCAAACCATACAAACTCCTTTTAAGCTTGCAAACAAAGCTTTCTTTTCTTTTGATCTCAGTTGCTTCATATAAATTTCCTCATCCAAATCACCGTGAAGAAATGACGTCTTTACATCCATTTGCTGGAGACGCAAATCTTCTTGTGCTACCAGCCCGAGAACCGTTCTAATGGTCACCAATTTAACTACTGGAGAAAAAATTTCATTGTAGTCAACGCCTTCTTTTTGTTGGAATCCCTTCACAACAAGCCTCTATTTATAGCGCTTACTCCCATCAGGTTCTTCTTTTATTCGGTAGACCAATTGGTTATGCAATGTCTTTTTCTCTTTAGGCAAGCTTCCACTTGATCGACTCATCCACTTGCATAGCCTCTTCATAACATCCATGCTCACCTTTATCTGTGAGCATAATGTAGTTGAGTGATGGAGAAAATCTTACAGGCTTTCTGATGATTCTACTCGACCGTCGTAACTCTGTTACTGGTGTATATGGGACCACTTTAGAATCATTATTCTCTTCAGCCTCACCACTCTCTTCTTGATAGATTTCTTCTTTTGTTGTTGTGGTATCCTGTGGCAACTCCGGTATCATGATATCTTCTAAGTCAACAGCTCCATGCTCTTTCCTCTCTGAGTCTTCTCTTACTTATCCTTGTACAACGATTCTTCGTTGTACATAACATTCTTGCGGCAGATGATCTTCCAATTTTCATCATCCCAAAATCGGTAACCGAACTCCGTGGTACCATAATCGATGAAGTAACACTTTTTAGACTTTAAGTTTACTTTTTTCAGCATCATCAATATGAACATAAGCTAAGCAACCAAATACCTTTAGATAAGAATGATTTACTTTCTTGCCGCTCCAAACTTCTTCAGTGATCTTAAATCACCGTGGCACATACGGTCCTCTGTTTATTAAGAATACTAGAGTACTGTTTGCATCTGCCAAAGATAATATGCGTTCCTTGTGATCTCTGAAAAAACTTCAGTCCCTGAGAGATTGATGACCTTTGATTATGTCTCCTTAAGCTTAGCTTTGACATAATATGAGTCTGTCTTTAACTTGAGGTATCCTCCATCCCAGACGACTTAAATCAATCTCCAACACTAATCGCAAACATGCCCACCTGTGCAGCTATTTTTGCTACAGCTTACGCGGGTCTTCCCTTTCTTGCAAACACTGCTGCATCCCTTGCAAGTCTCTCATCATGGTTTCCCTCATGTGAACGTTTCTTCCTCTGTCCCTCCCTGACGTTGTCTCTTGTCTACCACAAACGAACGCTATCTGCTTTCTCTGATGCTACATATCTTAAGAATCATCTCTGGTTCGTCACACATAATGTGATTGTGACTACAAATCTACTGATTCTTCTTCTCCATATTTTATCCATCTGATGTCGATTCTACCTTGAAGCTCTTGCGGAACCTGAATCACCACTGCCTCAAACCAGAAGCCGTTTGACTCAATACCTTAACAAAACTTAACAGCCTGTAGACACCAACTTCTTATTCTGAGAATTTCCTTTGTAATAACCTGAATGAACACCTTGTCTTGAACATCTCTCTGAACCGATGTTGTTTCCAACAGAATCCGCCGCTTAGCTCAACTTGTTAAGAAGTTTTTCGACACAAAGAATCCCTGCTCAACCTCTGCTCAAACAAATCATTACCTCTCTGCAACCGTGATACCTTGTAGACCCATTTGTTTCCCCTCATATGCTTGAGAAACCAAAACAAACTACTACTGAATCCCATGCAGAAAATCTGAAACATATATGTTTCATTCCGAATCAAACTCGATTTGACACTGCCACCTGTTCAGCCAAACCCTGTCTTGAACAAATAACTCCTCGTTCTCGCAGATCCATCCCAAGAGAAAATTATGTGTTACGCAAAACACATATCTGCTTAGAAAACCACACTGCATTCCCTCTGAAAATAGCAGCTTTGTAGTATCTTGTTCTCTGAACATCTACCCAATCGTAGACTCTCATAATTACACATAGACAAACCCTGCATCAGTCAATTTACTTCAACCCTTCTGCGACACCCTTCACGCTGACTAAAGAATACCATTTGAATAGCCATGAAACACTCATATCATTCCAGGTCTAAGGCGTACCCTAATTCCAAGAATTCCATGGTACCGAGCTGAAATACCCACATATATTAAAACACCATCTGCAACTGATATACCATGCAGAGATAACCCAAGAACACCGTGAAATTCCTCACAGAATCTTCAAAGAATCCCTTACTAAACCAGTGCAAAATTCCTTGTATTCCATTATGCTTTCAGCTCCACTAACTTGCATAACAGGAAGAAACCCAAAAATCCAACACTACAAGAAAACTACATTTACTAGGAAACTTTACTAGGAAAATAATTCCTCGTAAAATTACTACGAGTTTACTTCGAGTTTACGAGGAAACCATGTTTCCTCGTAAGGTTCTCGTATACTTACGAGAAAACAGTTTCCTCGTAAAGTCGTAGTAACATTACTAGGACTTTACGAGGAAAAAAACGCGGGCATAGCTATTTCCTAGTAAAGCANGAGAAAACAGTTTCCTCGTAAAGTCGTAGTAACATTACTAGGACTTTACGAGGAAAAAAACGCGGGCATAGCTATTTCCTAGTAAAGCAGTTTCCTCGTAAAGTCCTAGTAATTGCTTACTACGAAATTAAGAGGAATGAGTTTTGTTACTACGAAATTAAGAGGAACTAGATAGAAAATATCGAATTTAAATTTTGTAGCTACTTTTCCTAGCAATTTCTTAGTAAATTCTCAGATTCGAAAATTTCTATAAATACCACCATATGTGATTCATTTGAAACACACCAAACAAATACAAAATACTCAATTCATAACTGAAAGAAGTTCACAGTCAACATAATAGTTTCTTATCAACTCCTCATAGCTTTTCCTCAAAGAAATAGCTTGGGGCTTTTCTTCAGGTAAATAGTTCGAGGAAAGCTATGTGGGGTTGAGAAAAACCGTTTCGATGACTGTATACTTCTTTTAGTTTTTTTTAAAAAAAATTGTGATTTGGGGTTTAGGAAGATGTATATGTATAAGTTATGGAAGTTGGTTTAGGTTTAGGGTTTAGGTTTAAGGTTAGGGTTTAGGGAATTTAGATTAGGTGGTTAGTTTAGGGAACTTATATTAGGTTGTTTAGTTTTGAAAATTTGGGGTTTAGGTGTAGAAGAGGTTAGGAGTTTGGTTGTAGAAGAGGTTATANATTAGGGAATTTAGATTAGGTGGTTAGTTTAGGGAATTTAGATTAGGTGGTTAGATTAGGGAATTTAGATTAGGTGGTTAGTTTAGGGAATTTAGATTAGGTTAATTTAATTTTTTTAACTGTTTTTTTTAAATGATACTAGTATATTAATGATACTAGTTATCGAGCCGGGATGACGACTTCGTTCGTCAATTTTAACAAGCAACATCCGTAGTTTAGTTTTTTTTCTCTTTAATTGTATATGAATTTAAAACTTAAATATTTTGTTATTTATAAAATATTTTGTTATTTCTTTTTATTTATAATTTGGATTCTTTAAATTTTTTAAATATATTATTTATATTTATTTTAATTATTTTTTTAATAGGGAAAAATATTTCAAAGTAAATTCCTAGTAAAGCATTACTAGGAAATTACGAGGAAAGTGGAAAAACATTTCGAAGTAAATTCCTAGTAAAGCATTACTAGGAAATTACGAGGAAAGTGGTTACTAGGAAATTATGAGGAAAGTGGTTACTAGGAAATTACGAGGAGAATGGTTACTAGGAAATTACGAGGAAAGTGGTTACTACGACTTTACGAGGAAAAAGGCTTTACGATGAACGTGTTTCGACGAAACGCGTTTCCTCGTAAGTTCTTAGTAAAAGGCCATTTACTAGGAACTAACGAGGAAAACCTGCCCTAGTAATGGACGAGTTTTCTTGTAGTCAATGCATATAGTCACACTTCCCTTGTGACTGCAGATCGAGGACAGCTCTGAAGCCTATCTTTCTTATGCTAGCAGTCTGCCACCATCTTATCTTAGTAGCACGTTCTTGCACCCTTGGAGAACTCTAGAGAACCCTGATTTCAAAACTAGAAATCATTTCAACCGATTCAACAGACTTCTGAATCTTTCCTCCATAAACTTGTGCAATTGCAGCGAAGAACGTCCAACAGTTTCCTTCGTCTCTTTTAAACCGAAAAACCTCTTTCACCTGATCATGACATGGGTGTGTCCTATGATTTTTAACCTAATCAGATTTCCACATGTGTAGAACCACGTGACCACCAGCTTCCATTAATCCTTGAAAGATTCAAAAACACATCGCTAATTCTTCATATGATCCATGAATCGTCGAGTCTGAGATCTGATACCACTGTTGGCGCTCGGATACCACTTGTAAGGTTACGATACTCACTTGTTACGGAAGCTAAACTCTTTATAGCACTGCCCCTGGACCTACTCATATGATTCACTAATCTTGTTCATAACTCAAGACTTTTTCACCCAGTTCACGGCCGTAGCGCGCTACCTCTGGGGTGGATTCAGAGATCCACAACATCCACTATGAAATATCGGGAAAACACCTCCGATGTGGTTTACAAGATCATCACTCTCTGTTTCATGGGTGTACAAACCCTAGAGAGTATACAAGAGATTACATGGCTAAGAGCTAAGACTAGAATACATATCGACGTCTAGCTTAGTCTATTTCTCTAAGTGATGCCGTGGAAGCACTCCTCTGAGGCTTGAGGCTTCAGCCTTTAAGAGGCGTGGCTTGTGCTTAGAGATCCCTGTCGTGATCTTTCTTCTTTCTCTTGTCAACACTTAACCTAATGGACTTTAATGATAGGCTCATAGATTGTCCACGCGTAACTTGTGCAAGCCAGCCCAAGTTGAACACGTCTGATGGGTTTTGACCAAACTTCACAGAACTCTATTAGATTTGAGTTGATATTTGCAGCGTTCATGACCAAATACTGCGGTACAATCTCCCAATAACTTGCTGATCCTGAAACAGACAAGGCAAAGAATTGGATCAAATGCCAAGTAATACGCGTCTGTGTGGTTAGTACAATCTTGTATTAACCACCCAAATGCACCCTTGATACAAGCAGAACAATCATTTGCATCTACTCTAGAGATCCCTGCCGCGTAGACTCGACTAGGTTCTTGTCCGATGGAACTGCTGTAGAAGCCATCTTGAGCCGCTGCATTGGAAGGAAGAGAAGAGAGGATGAGATAGTGGTTGCGTCATATGTACTGTTGGTTTCGAAGTTTCTCCCGTTATGTATGCACGTTTGTGGTGAAACTGAAGCAACAATGAGAACATAACCGAGGATTAGTAAGGAACTTCTCTGCTCCATCTTGTTTTCAAGATTATAGCAACAAGATATTGTCTTAGTGTTTATGCATCTCTCTGTTTTCACTATTTAAATAGCAATGGAAGTTTCTGTGAGAGTTTCTAAATTTTGAATTCTTTAAACTGATATACGGTCACTAAACGAAGGACAAAAATCGAACGTCAAAGTCAAATGTTTTTGGTCACACAGTATATTAGTTTCCTTTCAGATAATCATGAAGACGTGCATGTAGGCTCTTAGTTAAGTCATGTTATGAGTGAATGGCCTAGCACATCCGCAGAAGAAGACATAAATAACGAACCCACTTGCATACACATACTATAGTAATTATACAGTCAAGCGTTCAATACTTTCACATAATCCTTTTTCTCTGAAGATTATGGCAAAATCTTTTGTTTTAGCGCTATAACGCGTCTTGCTGATTAGACAGAACTCGAAATTTCTGGCTGAATTTTTATTTCTTCAATCGTCAAACTTATCGGTTATGGACCTTATGGCAGTGGTGCTTAGTTTGACCCAGCGTCAAAAATCAACTTTTTTTTGCAGTGACAAAAGTCAAATTACGTGGACCCAGATTGACAGGTCCAGATGAGCAGTAGGCTATTGTATCACTGTCTTTAGTTTATATTAGGGGTTGGCCCGAGCTACGCCCGGGGTTTTTCTATAATTTTGAATTTATTTATATGTTTAGTATCTATATGTATATATGTAAGAGCATATATAAAAATATATGTCGTCAGACAATTTAAAAATTATTTGCAGTTTCTTCATTTGTTTTGCTTACTCAAGTGGGCTTCAGTATGCTAGCTTTCATTCCATTCTCTTGGCCTTTTTGCATAAACCCGGTGCCAACACCTCGGTTATCCAACAATTTCCATATAATTATGTTTATAACACCTAATTAATTGTTATAGAGAGCATTAATTCGTGCTAAAAGGGTTATTATACAAAGGTATAACCAACTCTAACTTCAACTTGGAGTTATTTGATGTTCACCATCTGCATTTACTAAGATTCAATTAACTTCAATATACAGCCTTAGACATAATAGAGATAAGGTGTTCCAAATAGTTAAGTTAGTTTTTTTTATACTGATTTCATTTTGTATTAAAAGATAATAGAAGATTTGATTTTCTTAAAGATTTATTAAAATGCTTTTTATATTTTGCTAGAGTTAACCAAAATATCAAGCTAATTTTCTGACAGTTTTTAGTTTTTATATCAAGTTTTTGTTTTGATAAACACATTTTTAAGTATTTTCATATGTTAAAACATACTCTCTCTGTTTAATTATAAGTGTCACTTTAGCTTTTTGTACACGGATTAAAAAACAACTAATTTTACATTTTTTATATAAAACATACAATTATCTATACACCTAACAATATTTCAAGCAATAGAAAAACAAATTACATAATAAAATTAATAAATTTTGCATTGAAAACCAAAAACGACACTTATTTTGTAACGAAATAAATTTTCTATTGTAACACTTAATATAAAACGGGGTGAGTATTTTTTAGTTAGTTTTTAGGTTGGTTTCCCAAAATATTTTTTCAGAACATCAAATTAACTTTAAATGGTTCTTTTAGAGTATCATTAAACAATCAAAAACTAACATGGATTTAAAGATAACAGCCAAATATAATTAACTAAGAGAAAAAAACATATTTATGAGACATTTAACTTTCTAATAATCTCTGCATGTCAATATAACTTCCTTCTTTGCCCATTTTTAACCTGATTTCCATCCGAGATATGGAATGTGTCTGTATTTCTTGAAGTTAGAACCTGGTAACCACGGTCTATATCGAACAAATAAAAGTTTAATGAACTGAGACCAATAAGCAAGGATTTTTTTTGTCTATTTCTTGAACTTACAACATAGCCATTAGCAGTCCAAATCGTGATATTCCATTTCATGCTTATATTTCATCCTTGCATGCAAAAACTCGTAAACTCAACTATTCTCTTGGAATTAATAAAAAGGACAAAAAAAAAGCAAGCCATACCCAATGGAAACAGTCATCTTCATCCTCCGCTTTGATACAATTATAATAAGATGAGCTACAGGAGGCATGATCAAAAAGCGGAATGCGAAATAATTAAAATAAACATTAGGATACGAAATATTGAGATTGTACGCCGGATTCTGTTTCAAAACTAAGTTGTTCATGAGTTTTAAGAACTGACTACCTGAACGTCGAGTAGGAGTCTAACAACCCACAACTCGCCACTGCGTTTGACGTACCAAGCTTCCCCGAAAGGAAAAGAGAAGGTGGCCATTATACTAAGAAAGAAATTCTATTGCTAGTGTAACTGTGTAGATGATTAGCTAATGGTGCCCTAACAATGATCCCTTTCCTTGACCAATGGTCGGTGCTGATTTTGTTTTTCATGATTTGAATTTCACTATGTATATATAATCCTTTCAATAGATACATAATATCAAATTGACCACACAACAAAGCAATAACACGTCCAGTCCTTAAAACCCAAACAACAGAGGATAAATAGGAGTTGATTTATTCTTATTAGTTTTCTTTTAATTATTTTCTTATAACCGCGTAATGGCTGGAATCATCTTCTCACTTGTCCTATCTGCTCGAACGTACCACCAAAATTTCTGAGAATCCAGTCAACGCCAGCGTGTTCAAGAAGAATTGCACGGTTCTCACTCGGCGATTATTTTGTTGAAGCATTTGGTAGAGGAGATCACAGACTCGAAGCCGATCGATTCCGCCGCTCGTTCTTCCACGGAAAAAGACTTGTGGTCTGATCTTGTGGTTGGGTTTCAAGCCGTAAATAGTCTCCCCTCCTCATCCACTCGATGCCAAGCTCTTGACTCCTCTGTAAGCAAAATATAACAATTCAAATTACGGATCCCTGCAATATTTATAATAGAACGTAAACTGTATGTTCTTATTGATGTACAAGGTGTTCTTTATATACAAGAATATCGGGTCCTTATCCTAAGAGGATTATGACTATAGGACTATAGATAAATACAACACATATCTATCATTATCTCTAATGTATATCCTTATCTCTATACCCTCTCTCAAGTTGGAGGTGAAAGATCATGAATCTCCAACTTGGAAAGGAGATAAGCAAATGTAATAGAAGGTAATGCTGTAGTAAGAATGTCAGATGGTTGCTCCTTTGTTGAAATGTGCTCAGTGGTAATGAGTTTATCTTCGACAGCATCGCGAACATGATGACAATCTGACTCAATGTGCTTAGTACGTTCATGGAAAACCGGGTTTTGAGCAATGTAGATGGCTGATTTACTGTCGCAGAAAAGACGCATTGGTTGTGTATGTTGGATACCGACAGCTGTAAGTAATTGTTTGATCCATTTCAGCTCCTTTGGAGCATAAGACATTGAACGATATTCGGCTTCTGCTGACGACAAAGAGACAGTGTTTTGCTTCTTTTCTTTCCATGAGATAGGAGAATGACCAAGAAGCACGATGTAGGTGCTCAAAGATCTCCGAGTGGTTGGACAAGCGTTCCAATCTGAATCACAAAAGGCAGTGACACGAATATCGGAATCAGAACGAAGTAATATACCTTGGCGAGGAGAACCCTTGATGTAGCGAACCGTGCGTAGTGCTGCGTCCCAATGGTCTGCACGAGGTTGGTGCATAAACTGAGATAAAATATGAACGGCATAGGAGAGCTCCAGACGTGTGAATGTAAGGTAGATGAGGCGACCAACTAAGGGTCGATAACCAGCAGGATCAGTAAGCAGAGGAGATTTAGACAGAGCTAATTGATGATTTAATTCAATAGGCACAAGAGACGGCTTAGAGCCAAGAAGACCAGTCTCAGTAACTATATCAAGCGCATACTTGCGTTGAGAAATAAAGATACCGTTGTTGTTGCGTGCTACTTCAATGCCTAGGAAATATTTGAGCTTGCCCAAGTCTTTCATGTGAAAACACTATTGGAGGTAGTTCTTGAAGCGTTGCATTGTAGAGATATCGTCGCAGGCGATAGTGAAATCATCAACGTATATAAGTATATGTAGAATTGTCTTCCCTTTGACGTAAGAAAAATGGGAATAGTCAGGTCTACTTTGTTTGAAACCATAAGACTTCAAAGCATTGCTGAGTTTTGCAAACCAACATCTGGGCGATTGTTTCAACCCGTAGATAGACTTACGCAAGCGACAGACCTTTGTAGGATCAGGATCTTCAAAGCCTGGTGGGAGTTTCATGTATACTTCCTCTTGTAGATCGCCATGGAGGAAAGCGTTTTGAACATCCATCTTATGTAATTCCCACTTTTTAGCTGCTGCAAGTTGTAGAAGTAAGCGGACAGTAGTAGGTTTCGCCACAGGAGCGAACGTATCAGTATAATCAAGCCCCTCTCTTTGACGATTTCCACAAGCGACGAGGCGAGATTTATTTCGAGAGACCTTACCATTCGAATGGTATTTGATCTTATACACCCATTTACTAGCAATAGCCTTCTTTCCTGAAGGTAGTTTGGTAACATCCCAAGTGTGATTAGCCTCAAGTGCTGTGTATTCGTCTGTCATGGAGTTGTTCCAAATGTCGTCAAGAATAGCTTCTTTGTAGCTCTTAGGCTCAGCGTTAGAAGTGATGGCCGCTAAGAACGCAGTATGGCCTGTAGAAAAATGAGCCTTAGAGAGATAGGACGTAATGGGATAAGGGGTAGTACCTGGAGCCGAATTAGGAGGACCATGAGGAGGAGACAGTGAAGTGAGAGAGACGAGAGGGGGTGTACAAATCTGAGAAGCATTGACGACATAGTCTTTTAGTAGAACAGAAGACTTTCTTGTTCTGTGTCCGCGACCAAGCAACTCGGGAAGACCTGGTGAAGAAGGTGCTTCATGTGCTGGGAAAGTGACTGTAGTAGGAGATGCTGTAGTAGGAGGTGCTGTAGAAGGAGGTGCAGTAGTAGGAAGAGAGGATGTTGCAGTGGTAGAGGGATTCATTGAGGTAGGGGTTATGGTAGTATTTGAAGGTTGGGATGGTACATAAGGTAGTATCGTATTATTTGGAGCAGAAGGTGTAGTGTTCGTAGGTGTAGGAATCTCAGAGGACGGTGGTGTAGGTATGGGAGATGGTGTAGGTATAGCAGGAGGTGGTATCAACCAGTCATCAGCGTCAGCATCTGGTTGGAGCAGAGGAAGTGTAGGATAAGTTGTATCTTGGATGCCAGGAAATTTATCTTCAAGAAAAACTACATCCCGACTTGCAAAGACTTCGTTTTTCTCAATGTCCTATAACTTCCAAGCCTTTTTACCATAAGGGTATCCGACGAAGAGACACTTACGGCTGTGGTCACTGAACTTATCCCTGTCACGAGGACATCTGTGAGCATAGCAGAGACAGCCGAAAATGCGTAGTGAATCATAAGATGGTTTAACGCCATGCATGAGTTCATACGGAGTACTCCCATGAAAAACAGCTGATGGTGTTTTATTTATCAAATGCGCAGCAGTGAGAATGCTCTCATCCCAAAAAGTAGTAGGAAGGTTAGACTGAAAGAGAAGTGCACGCACAATATTAAGTATATGTATATGCTTACGTTCCACACGTCCGTTCTGCTGTGGTGTGTCCACACAAGACGGTCCTGTAAAACACAAAAAGTGTCAGTAAAAATAGCAATGCAGCCGGTTTGTTTCAACAATCTTATACCGAAATCAAGGTGCAATTGAAATTCGGTACATAAAGAACATTAAGAAGGACGTAGTCTTTAGTAAGAGGTAATCGGCCAATCTTAGTAGCACGAGACGCGGTTCCATCGGGGAATGTAACCGCAGATGGTGTAATATCAATAGCATCTTGTAAGAGAGATAAGTCCCCCGTCATATGGTGAGATGCACCAGTATCAATAATAACATCAGAAATATCGGTTTTACCAGACATGCGATCGGTAGAGAGTTGAGATTGTCGAGTTTGAAGTAGATTGATGAGAGCTGTAATCTGATCAGACGTAGAATAGGAGGATGGTGCACTGACAGAGACAGACGCAGCATTCAGACGGCCACGACCGCGACCTCCAGAGTTACTGAAACGACCACCACGACCTCTGTTGCCTGAAGATGGAGTATTCCGAGAAGCTCGTTGTTGTTGTTGTTGTTCCAAGAAACACTCTGGATAACCATAGAGAAGGAAACACTCGGAAGCCTCATGACCTACACGTTTGCAATGAGTGCATGATCTTGCAGGATCACGGTTCCGAGACACCGTAGCTGGAGCATTGGTAGTAGTAGGAGTGGTTGAGAAATCTGTTTTGACTGCAAACCCGATCGCGTCTTGTGTCGTGTCAGACAAGCGTAAGTTGTTGATGTTTTGCTCAGCTCGTATTACACGTGAATACACAATATGAAGATCAGGAAGAGGTTCCTCATCAATGATTTGAGATCGTATGGCACTGAATCGCACTCCATCAAGACCAAAAAGAAACTTGTGAACCTTAGCATCCTCTCTCTCTTTCTCAAGTTCTGCAGAAGCAGCACAAGTGCAAGTGACGGAAGGTTTAAAATTCTGGATTTCTTCCCAGAGTTTGGAAACCAGTCAAAGTATTCAAGAACGGATGTCCCTTTTGTTTGCAATTAGTGATTTCATCTTCCAGAAGATGCTTAGGAACTCCATTCTTGACTGAGAAGTGTTGCTTCAGAGATTCTCATTTGTAACTACTTTAATCATAATATCTTTCTATTTCAAATATAAATATATATACAAGATTACAAAATATCTGTTGAAAAAAGATTTAAGAAGATCTTAACTTTTAACAAATTATGTAAATATTTCACTAATTTTGAATTAGTAAAGAATATAATTATACATTAATATATATATTTAGTTATCTTTTATAAAATACAAAAATTCTATTATTTCTATCTATCTTGTATAAAATCATAATATATATAATTATTATATTAAAATTGTATTAAATGGATAAATTAATCTATTTTATTTTCAAAAATAGAAAATATTAAGGTTAAAAATATAATACGCTAGCAGAATATGTTAACATTAGTAACTATATAACACATGTATAAAATTAACATATAAATTTTCATATACAATACTATATTATCTAAATAAACATAAAAATTTGCTAATTTAGTATAAATTAAATATAAAATAATTTTCAAACATGGTTTTTCATGCATATATTAGTTTATTCAATTATCAAATGCAAATCTAAGAAGATAAATATATAATAAGAAACGATTGAAATATTTTTTATTAACATGTGAACTATAAAGTTATCGTGTTTGTGATAGTTTTATAAACGTTTAAATATATAACTAACTTCACTTAATAATGTAAAATAAATATTTATGTATATAAAAATGAAAATAAAACTTGCGCGGTTGCACGGATCAAAATCTAGTATAGTTTTATCTTATGAGTTTATGAATATATAATCCGTTCAGACAAAATATTATACATCACTAGGTATATTGTACAAGATCACTACTAGGTATATAGTGATCAATAAAGTATTATACTAATATTTTGGAGCTAAAAATTCAAATCAAAAGATGTTTTCATAACAGACATCTTCTGTATATTATCTAAAATGATAAGAGTTTTCTCACAAACTTTGATTTGATTATAATCTCACATTTCATACATAAATTGATGGAGTTTCACATACACTTTGATTGAGTATATAACCTCACATGGTCTGTGTCAAACTTAGAGCATGTCCAATGCAGTTCATAATATTTACATCCAACCCCTTCTAGGTACTAGCTGTAATGGAGTTTTATTATATTCAGGTTTTCACTTTTAAAGTGTAGATAATGTAACTATCTTATCAGCTTTAATGTATTGTACTAGCTACAACGGAATTGTGTAACATATAAAACAAGATCAGTAAACAGAGTGAATTTCAATTAGAGAAAGAATCGTAATGGGATTGAAGTTCTAGCGCCCTAAAATAAAAACACTCAGGATCCATAACATCAAGATTGATCCTTACTGAGGATCAAAAATCGCTAATTGTTGCACTTGCACCATCCAAAGACCTGACTCAACTGTCAGCTAGTAGGTCTTGATTGTGTGTGCTTCCGAAAAAAAAAATCCAGATAAGATAATTGTCGAGAAAGTTGCTGTAAAATCTCTCATGAATCAATTTAAAAAGCTTATCATCTGTTGTTTTAATTTAAATGCTACGATGGTCTTGTAGTTACCAATATTAAAGAACATACATTTCTTTTACAAATCAAATGTTGCAGCTATATCACGTGGTTAATTAATTTTAAAAGACTCATAAAGCATAAGACGAAAGTATTCAAAAACAGATAACGTAAGTTTGTGTGTTTTTAACCAAGAACATATCCAGAGTTGAGTAAAAAAACATAAAACGACATAAAGTTCTCTCAAAATAACGACATAACCTTCAAAGAAGTCCACAAGACTAAACTACGAACGAGAAGCATGCATGGTTTCATTATTAAAATCAGATTGGAGGGATGATCAAACGAATCACACCGTTCTTGGCTATGGTCTTGATCTTACGGCCAGGAATGCTAACATGACTTTCGAGCATAGCCACCTCACCGGAGTAGCGCCGGCCACCAGAGTCATGGCTAACGCCAGGAGCATCACCAGTCACCGATACTCTCCCATTCACGACGGAGACGGTGAACCTATCTTTGGGAACACCCGGCATGTCTACACGCACGTATAGACCGCCGTTTGGGAGCATCTTCCACTCATAAGCCATATCCGAGCCTAGGTTCACGCATGGGTGTGGCTCCAGTAGCGGACCGGTTAACGCCGGGTCTGCGCTTTCACAACCAAACTCATTATATTATTACACATACGCTTTATTGATGTCTCTCCCATAATAATTTTGGATACCATAACATAAAACGACATAAAGTTTGTGAAAAAAAGAACATATGTAAATACCATGTGGATCCGTGCCATGAGGAAACTTGTGAGGACCCGCGCTACAGCGATCTTTGACCACGAATAGAGACAAAAAAATCAATTCAAAAGTTTGTGAGAAAAAGACTTGTAACAAGAAAATCAAGATAACATCTTTTTTAAAAAAATATATAAATAAAGATAATTAATTGTAGAACCAATAAATCAAAGGTAATTAAAGAAAAGTTGGTGAAAATTACCTTCTTCGTCTGGGGCACGAAGAAACGCTGTAGAAAATAAATTGAAATTTTTATCAGTATATAGATTTTTATAATAATATGTAGAATTTAAATAACCAAAAAGGGGATTAATTACAGATGCATGAAGGGCTTTGTGATGAGGCGTGGGTCTTGGAGAGGTGAAGTCTGAGAACACCATCCAACATGTGTGAGGTCATTCCCGAGATCTCGCAACATTTACAGACCAGACCTGTAGCGGAGCCGTAGTTCCGAGGAGAAGAGTCATGTTTGTGCTCTTTCGGTGCGTCCGCGGTGATAGACACAGCTTTTTTGGTCGGGTCAATCCTAACCTTAACGCCTTCTTGTGGAACACCGGGAAAGTCAATCCGAATGAACATGTCCTCGTTCTCAAGCATCTTGAACTCTGTGAACCCTTTTGGTCCACTTACAAGAAACGGGTTGTTAATCGCGTAAAACCCATCTGCTCCACACCACAACAGACATACACAAAAAAGAACAAAAAGACAGAAAAAAATCTGAGAAAAAAAGTATAGTAAAAGTGAAAATGTGAATGAGATTTGAGGATGGTTGAGAAGATGTTACCGCTAGATGGAGGAGCAACGGTAAGAGGGACCACCATTATTCAACGACGAGCTGAGTGAGATTTTTTTCTGTGAGGTTTCAGATTTCTGAGTTAACTGTTCTTTAGGGTTTCTCTCTCACCCTTTATGTTCAGAGCAAAAGCAAAGAGAAAGCAACGAAGATGAATAAAGACAAGGCACTGAGCTGTCAGATGAAAACGACAAGGGATAGGGGACCACGTGTCTTCTTTCCATTTGCGACTTCGTAATGCATCAGAACTAAACGCGCTTTGTCCTCCCTTGAGTGAAACATTTTTTATTTTTTATTTTTGTATTTATTAAGGAGAAGAAGATTGTATGATAAAGTTTACTACGTAGTGAAATCATGTGTATCTTTGGATATGCAATACTCACCTAAATACATGTGATGGATAGAAACAAGATTTACATGTTGTAATTTGATTGAACATCTTATACGTACGCAAGCCAAAAAGATCAATATTGTTCTTCAAATATTAAAAACTCAAAATAACATAAGAAGAATAGTCCATCAGTTATAACATAATATTCTCAATAAAAGCATGAACTAAAGATGGTGATAAAATTAGAAAGGAGGGATCATAAGGCGGATGACTCCATGATTAGCAATTACTTTGATCCGGCGGTTGTCATAGTCTAGAGGAACGACAGCGACCTTGGCTCTGTACTCACGCCCACTCGAGTCGTGTATAGCCGGAGGAGCTCTTCCTATGACATTGACGCCACCGTCACTTTCCACCGTCACCGTGAAACGATCGTTGGGGACGCCGGGCATGTCAATACGCAGGAAGAGACCGCCGTTTGGGAGATGCTTTGATTCGTACGCACTCGTGGATCCCTCCAACACTGAAGGGTGTGGTAGTGTGACCGGACCCGGACCCGTAAACGCCGGATCTGTCCAAAACATTAATCAAATAACATAACAGCGATCAATATTATATGCTTGCGTCCTCAATTAATTTTTTGTTCAGTAGTGTAGCTGATATACATACACCGAGAAAAGAACATGCATGAACAATTTGTGTGAATATGCATGCATACGACTTATAATATTATGGACATCAATTTATTAACTGTAAGTAAGTTGTGTCACAATGGATTATATATGGAGCCATTATTTAATTATTAAGTACATACATACCAAGAGGGTCAGTGCCAAGGCGACCTGCGATATATTAATGAAGGTACTTAATTAACGCTTGAGGGTTTTGCCTGTGAAGTTATATTATGGCTTAACTAATAATCAAAACCAATGAAATAAATAGTTAAGTACCTTCTGTTGGTGGGTTATGTTGTCCACGAAGATGAGCTGCCAAATTAAAGAATAAAAATACATTATTTAAGAAACATAAGGCATAATAAAAGAAAATGTGAAAGAATAAGTCAAACTTTAATATGTATTTAACATACCAAGAGGATGGCCACCTGCGACTGCAACAATACAATCAACACACATCCCATAAAAAATGTCAGATACTATATGATATGCATTGAAGAAAATAAAAATAATAATTTTAAAATTACAATACCTTCTGGGTTATACCCATGAATTATGTGAGCTGTCAAATGAACAAAAAAAAAAAAGAGCTTTAATTAACATTCAAAACTGGTAAAAGAAAACAATAATAATAAATCATCTACTGATTCGAGATTAAACACGAAGAGACATTACCAAGGAAAGGAACATTAGGCATTGTGGCACCTCCAACTGAGAGAGACAAAACATAAACAAAATGTCAGATATCAATTTCCCAAAAGTAAAATATATATAGAAAATAGCTATTTTTTTTTGTTGCATCAATTCGAGAAATTAATTTACAAGAACATGAGGAAGGGACATGACGATTGATCTTCTTCTTGGAGAGAACGAGCCTGACGACACCATCTCCAACATAACACTGAATGTTACTGATCTCACAACAATCGCACACAAGTCCCGTGACTGTTCCGTATTTGCGGTGAGAAGAATCGTGTCTGAACTCTTTCGGTGCGTCTCCGAACACAAAGACAGCTTTCTTCAATGGCTCGACAAGGATCCTCACACTTTCTTTGGTAACACCAGGGAAATCAAGCCTCGCGAACAGATCCTCGTTCTCTTCCATGAGCTTGAACTCAGTAAACCCTTTTGGTCCGTTCACCTGATACGGATTATTGGTTGCGTAAAACCCATCTGCCCACACAAAAAGATTATATTACTGTATATGATATATAATATATATATATATATATATATCAATCAACATTAAAGACTTAAAGAAATGATGAATAGAAAGAACTAGGATAAATGATACCGTGCGATTGGGGGACGGGACCGATGTTCATGACCGGCATTATTACGCGGAGGTGTTAGGGCTTTAGTCTTTCTTTTTAGATTTCTCTCACTCTCCCCTTCCCTTTATGGTTTTAGAGGTATGAGAGATTTTACCAGAGGGAACATTTAAACGAAAGAGAGAGGTATGGAGCTTGTCAGGTAAAAACGAAAAACAATCCCCGTTTCGACACGTGTCGTTTTTTCATTTGTTAACAATTTCAGTGAGAAAAAACCTTATTTAATTACCTGCAGTTATATACAGTCCCATAATTTTGAATTTTCGACTGTTCCTACACTGGTGAAAGGTCTGAGTTTTTATTTAGACAAGTTAGAAAGTTGGTCTTTGGCTAAAACTAGTAAGTTTTCAGCTTTATTTTGTCGACTAGTTTTCAGCTCTATTGTAGGCCTCGTAACTTCATGCGCGTTCAGGCAGACAGGCACACGTATAATACATTTATACATTGTTTTAATTGTTTTATAAGTATTTTCATATGTTGTCCCAAGAAAACACAAGTATTTTAATATTGTTCTTAACACCGTTTGTACATACATAAAAATATACCCACTTCCACCAAATGTTTGGCACTTGTATGCAAAATTATAAGTAATTTCGTATAAGCCGACTTTACTTTTTTCTAACTAAATAATATAGGTAAATTTACACTAATCTACTTTTCCCTATATTTGTGGTTGCCTTGAGTGTTTTTCTTTAATGAGTGTTAAAATTTTATTCAACTCAAAAACCATTTTACAAAGTATGCACCTTGTGTTCAATGATTTCCTGGTATATCACTCTGATTTCCTGATCTCCCAGCCCTTTCCATAGGCGAGCTAGCATTGTCCAAAGTTGTAAGGCCTTGTGTTCGGATAAATGTAAATGTTAGTTTATGAAATGGAGATGTGGAATTAGACACTAAATTACTAAAAAAAGTAGGCCTAAACCAGTGCTGCATGTTTTGTTGATAATTCCTCCTTTTTTTGTTGACATCAAACGGTTTATCTATTATTTAAGTTTGAGGTAGTCTGGATAGCTAGACCGGAATATAACAACCATTATACAAAAATTCTCGATAGAAAGATCGAGCAGTTTTAGTTAATGAATCAGAAACCCCGTTCTGTGTTCTAGGAACATAAAAAATCTTAAAATCCAGGAAGCAAATCCGCAGCGTCATGAGATTTTCTAATTTCGTTGAGAAGCTTGGCCAGTCATGGGGATTTATGTGCATCGCAATCATCTTCTTGCAGTCAATCCCAAAGCTCTAACATGGAGAATGTAGAAGCATATTCTCCATTGCCCACCGCAGTGCAAAGCAGACTCCACTCTATTCAAATTGCGCAAACCCATTAACTAGCTATTTCCCATAATATCATTCCAAACCAAACCACATCCACTGAACTAATCTATATAGGTCCAAGAACCATCCACCATACATATATTTCCTAGACTTATGGTCTGGCTTTCAACATCTATGTTTCCTTGAGATGGCAATATAATATGTTCATTGGCTTGGAACCAGGCTTAGCATTCACTCTCTGCATAACGGACTAGCTCTAATGGTTCTCTATCAATTTCCCTAAATAGCTTATCGTTCTGAGTCTTCCAAATGTACCAAATTATCAAGGGATATGGATCCCTGTCCAATTTTGGTTTCATTATGTCATTTTTCCTTCAGAAGAGATAGTCCATATTCGCATATGTGCTCTGTAATGAAAACAAAGTACGGCTGGTAGGCGTAGATGATAAGGTCCAAACTTGCATTGCAGGTGGACACTGAAAGATTGCATATGTAACTGATTCTTCTGGTTCCCTACATCGTGGACAGTGATTATCACATCTCATATGTCTATAGTTTAATGTACTTGTAACAGCCACATGACATGTTATTAATTGCCACATAAGATGACACATCTTTTGGGGTGCCTTGACCGTCCAAGCATGTGTTGAGTTTTGTGATACTCGGTTCTCAAACTTCAGCCTCCTCCTCCTTCAGCAATATATTTCGTGCAACCCAATATCCAGATTTGACTGTGTACTGTCCATTCCTTGTATAGCTCCAGCAATACATGTCCCGACGATGTGTTGAAGTAATGGCCATACTCCTTATGAGTGGTATATTCGCAATAGCTACATAGTTCTCCAGTCGGCCCACATCCCAAATCTTTGTTTCTTGATTTATTAGGTCACTCACTCTCATGTTCGGATGCAAAACCGATGCAGATGGGGATGCTGGTCTTGGTGGTGTGGTAGGAATCCAGGGATTCTCCCATACTTTCACCTCATAGCCCAAATGTATCTTCTGTCTAACTCCCAGCAATAGTAATTTTCGTGCCACCGATATACTTGTTCACACATACGATGGGCTACTGACAGTAAGCTGACGCAAAGGCGAGCTCAATCGATAGTAACGGCCTCTCATGACACGAGCTACCAGAGAATCTGGGTATTGGACCAATCTCCATAACTGATTTGCTAACAGTGCTAGGTTAAACTCATTAATCATTTTGAACCTAATCCCGCCTTCCTCTTTAGATAGGCATAATTTGTCCCATGTTGCCAGTGTATACCTCTTTTTTTGGGGGGGGGGGTTCGAACTCCATCAGAACTATGCAATGGCACTAGCTAAATTATCACAGTTCTCCAACGGAAGTAGAAAGCAGGACATTACATAAGTTGAAAGTGCTAACAGTATCGACTTGATCATAACTTCCTTGCCACCTTTTGATAGCCACATGCCCGTCCATCCATTTACTCTATTCCTTAGCCTATCCTTTAGAAAAGCAAAAAGCTTGCATTTGGAACCACTGATATCCTCTAGGATTCCTAAGTATGTTCCCATCCCTCCTTCATTTTGAATCCCAAGTGTGTCTTTAATCTGTTGCCTAACATCATATCCAATTCTCTTACCAAAGAGTAAGGAGGATTTATCAAAGTTAATGCATTGTCATAAAGCTTGTCCATATTTCCTGACCACTTTCATTACTTCTTCACATTCACAGGGCTCCGCCTTACAAAAAACAGGCTATCATCAGCAAAGAGAAGGTGAGATACCCAAGGACATGCACGCGTGATGCGCATCCCCGTTATCTTCCCTTGATTCTCTGCATGATTTAGAAGGCTAACAAGCGCTTCTGTGCATAAAATAAAAATAAAAGGGGACAGAGGATCCCCCCTGCCGCAGACCTCTCTCTGGGACAATATTCCCTTTTGGCTAACCATTTATAAGGACCTTATACTTGACTGATGTTACAACGCATTATGCAGGATATCCAGATTTCTGAAAAACCCATCTTTCTCATGGTAGCCTCGATGAAGGACCACTTCATTCTATCATACGCCTGCTCATGTTTGTTTTAATGGCCATCATCTTGTTGCGTCCACTTGGTTTGGCTCTTAAGACGTGAAACATCTCCTGAGCAATCATAATGTTGTCAGAGATTTTTGCCCAGCAACAAAGGCTGACTGGATTTCTGAAATCCTCACGTATAACCTTTTTTAACCTCTGGCATAAGACCTTAGAGATTATCTTGTAACTAACATTACATAAACTGGTGGGGTGTAGTTGGCTCATCTGATTCGGCTTATCTACTTCCAGAATGAGACATATGTTGGTATCATTTAAGCCATCAGGTAACGTGTCTTCAAACAGGAATTGATTAACCATAAGAGTTAGATCATCCTTTACAATATCCCAAATTTCTGGTAGAAAAACGCAGTCATTCCATCTGGCCATGAGGCTTTCTCTTGATGCATTACAAAAAGAGCCAATTTGTTCTCCCATTCGGTGACAGGGGCTGTGAGATTATCAGTGTATGCTGATGTAATGGTTGTAGAAACCTCAGATAGTGCTTCCTCTATGTCCTCAGGATTTGATGATTGGAAAATATGTCTAAAATAACTTATAGCAATGGCTACAAGTTCTTTCTCATCCTGAACAACATTCCCATCTTCATCCAGTAATTGTGTAATCATGTTCCTCACTCTTCTCTTCTTCGTGAGGGCGTGAAAAAGTTTTGTATTCCTATCTCCTTCTCGTAACCAGCAAACCATACACTTCTGCTTCCAAATAAGAGAGTCAGACAGTTCCTTTAAAACTGCCGCAATCTCCTCAGTAGTGGCATCGTCGTTTGAAGATAATTGATCTATCTTTTCTTTTAACTCCTCCACACTTCTCTCAGAATTCAGATTATGTTGTCTCTTCTATTCGCTCAAGGCTCACCGGCAACTTTCAATATGCTCCATAATGCTTGCATCTGATGGAAGATCTGGTGATTTCCACCCCTCAAGTATGACTTGCCTGAGCTCCTCATTGTCCAGCCATCTCTTATCAAATTTGAAATGTTTTGATCTCCTCGGTAGCTTTTTGAGAATATCAGCTAAGATCGGACGATGATCTGATCCCCAGAGCCTCATATACTCCACCTTAGATTGAGGGAATTTTTCATGCCAATCCTTATTCCCAACAGCTCTAACAAGGCGGCATCTAACCGTAACTCTTCCTGCTCTTTTTCATGTCCAAGATAGCATGTTCCCTGTAAAAGGAAAATCCAGCATACCATAATCACTCAACATTTGCCTGAAAGGTAAGAATGAGTTGTCAGGGCGTTGTTTGCCTCCTTCCTTCTCTTCAGGACAGGTAATTTCATTAAAGTCACCTATCATAAACTAGGGTCCATTTCTTGTTGTTGAGAAACATGTAAGACGTTTCCAGACTAAATCTCTTCATTCTAGTACAAGATCCCCATCAACAAACGTCATATAGACTTTTATCCCATCAATAACTGCCTTAATGTCAATCATTCTGTTATTCAAAAATAAAACATTAACTTGAAATTCATCCATAAAAAATAAAGCTAAACCTTCGCTAAGTCCAAGTGTCTCAACGGTAAACAAACGATCAAATCCTAAGTCGGCCTGAATGTTATGCAACAGCAGCCTCCTATTCTTCGTCTCTGAAATTAATACAAGTCCTGGGCGATGCTTCTGACACATCTCTGTAAGGCGTCAAACTGTGAGGTCATTCCCAATCCCTCGACAGTTCCATTTGATTGTCTTCATATGTGATGGGGGGATGGGTTTTTGGATCCCATCAAATCACCCTCCTTATTCGAATGAACCTGAAGTTTCTTAGTGCTATGGTGAGAATTTCGTGACTTGTCCTTCTCTCCATGTATCTTATGAAAAGATGAGATAATCGATCGTATGCGTGGAGAACCACGGCGATGAAAATCTGGCTTATTTTTTTGGATCCCCAAAGGGGGATTCCTTTTGGAGTCTGTCCTTGTACTCTTTGGCTCTTTATTATTTCCTTTTGCCGTTGAGGGTCCAACGACCATTTTAGATTTTGATTTAACTTCCAGATTCATCAATTCTTCATCAAAGAGATCATCATCACAGACCAGCATATCAGCATCTCCAGCTATCTCTAACTCCATACCGCTCAGGGCTTCAATGACATGATCATCACCTCTCGCAGTGGCTGAAGCTTGTGGTGAAAACGTTAAGGACTTCGCCACACTCTTATTACGAAAAGTGACATTATCCCCTGTAGCGTATGACTGTAATTTCGGAGAAACAATGACACTAGCCAATCTATTACCCTGCAGCACTCCTCCATCTTTCGTTGCTTCCATTTCATGATGATGAGAATCACCATGTAAAGGCTTACTGCTCCCTTGAATTTGTTCATAAGGAACAATTGCACAATCATCCATATTATCTCCATTCTCATGACCTGCCACCATTTTAACCTCAGATTATGTTCTTTCTTTTAGCTCGCCAAGTCTGAGTTGCTTTTCGTTCATATGGAACATAGTGATATCCATTGTAACCATTGTGTCGTGTATTTGTTTCACGTTCTCGGATGATTCGATCAGAGTGGTACGTGATACTGCTTTTATCTCTTCTGTTGCTTAAATGATAGGACTCAGCACTCTCATAACTCGCCCTATGTCCACCACGTGGATCAGAAAGACGAGTTTTCAACTCTATACTCATGTTTCTCTTTTGCGTATCAAGTTGAGGTTGTCCATTCAAAGCATGATAACGAGGAACATTCTCATGACCGCGTTCAGGTTGATGTGTAGCACGTTGATTACGCAGAAAAGGTCGTCGATCATACTGATTGGTCTGGAGCTATACTCTTGCAAACACATCAGTTCTCTTTGTTGCAGACCGTGAGATAGTGTCGACAGTTGTGCAATATCCCTTCTCGTGTGTCATCATCCCACAGATAATGCAGTGTTTAAAAAGCTTGTCATATTTCAATAGTGACCTCATCTCCGTCAGGGCTTTCAACCTTTTTCTTGCACTTTAGAGGTTTCCTTGAATCGAAATCAATAAACAGCCGTCCCTCAGAGAGATCCGCAGTGTCTACGTGACCAATACATCCACCAATCTTTCTCAAATTGCGATCCGTACACAAGTGTAGAGGCATCCCAATAAAGCTAACCCAAAACAGGATAATCCATGGATAGTCATCGTGCACTATTGGCTCCCATCTCACCAATACAAATATGCAGGAGTTATAATGGAAATGACCTTTCTGTAGAACATAATTTAGTTCCTCTTCCATTTTGAAATTGATTAAGAACTTGTCATTTCCTAGGTCGTTTGTTCTGACACAATCCTAAAGAATCCACTGAGTTGGCATTGTCTGGATCAGCTTCTCCACATTTTGTTTCTTCAGGTTAAGGACCTTGCCAGTGAGAGATATACGATATTCCTTAATAACAAAAGCATCATCTTTCTTGGTGAGTTTAATTGGTTCATCATCATCCTCGTACAAGATTCCTTTTCCTTTGATGTCTACCATATGAGCAGACCTAGAGCGAGCCATTGACCTGGTTGCAGATGTGATCCCTGATACAAAGGTATGAAGGGCTTAGCTCCCAAGTGAAGTACAACCAAACCGATCGTTAGAGACTGCAGCTGAGAGGATGAATCGCTTCAAAGTAACATTCTAGAAAAAAATATTCATATACAAAGTATATAAATTTATCTAATGGGTGATTTTATCGAATTTACCGATATCTGTGTGACACATGAAAAAGTACAACTACATACCACCGATATATTCTCATTTTGTTCCTGCTAGGCGTATGACAGGACCTAAATTACCAACAGGTTCCCAAGCACGTTGAAAATGCTCTTTCCATGGTTTCGGTTTATAGTTAACTTTATTTTCTGATCGTCGGGAAGATTCTCTCTTTTTTCTATGTGCACTTGCAAGAGAACGAAATGAAAATTTGAAAGAAAAAAAGACGGAAAATATTTACAGGCCTATGCGCATGCAACATATCATAACTTGTGTGAGTAGTAACATATAAGTCGAATATATTTTCTAAATCATGATTACAAATTTTGATCATAAATCAAAGTCCTATCTATATGATTAGATAAAAACGATAGATAGTATCACGTCACATTGCCGTATTTTACTTTTTGACTATTATCTTCTTTCATATTTATGCATACTTCAAAAAGCACTAGCTATCGTATGGTTTTTGGGTGTAATTCGTGACTTATGATTTCGATGTTGTTAGATGCTCATAGGGGTTTTACATATATATATATACATTAAAAAAGTAGAGAATAGAGGAATAAGAATATGATTGTAATGTAGTATATCATGAGCCCAGCAAGGAGGAATTTACGTAATATCGCTAAAATTTGGGTAGATCGTTTCTTTGGTATCTCTATAAACCATTTTTTATGTCATCAAGATCTTACGAATGTGCATTGACAGAAAGAAAAAAAAACATGAAATCAAGTTAAATCTTAAACTAAGAGTTCAATGTATTTTCAGTATAGTGTAGTGGCGAAAGCTTCATGACTCGGTGGCTAGTTCCTTGTCAAAAGTGTCGAGAAACTGATATATGGTTGTGACAGCAAGCAAGATTCCAGTCCCTGAGCCAATAGCTCCGGTGAGGTCGGAAAGAACAGTGAGTGCACCAATGCACATTCCTCCAAAGGCGGCTGCTGCTGGGTGTAGCGGTTAAGCTCTTTGTGCAGATTGGAGTCTCTGTGCCCAGCCATTCCCATCCCTTGTTTCTTGAGATGTTTTGCCACGTCTCTAGCGGAGGACCCAGAGACTTCAATCCATGTCTTTGATAGAAACGCACAAGAAGAGGGCATGAAGACGATGTAGAAGAGTGTGTGGCAAGGATAAGCAGCCAGGCTTGATGGAGCTGTGATCAAGTAAACGAGACCACCTACTGGTGTGGATCCTCTCCACTGTCCCAGCAAGTTCACCAGGAAATTCCCATTGAAGTTGTTGAAGAGAAGCTGAGAGATGAAGTAGATATTTGAGACGAGAGCGGATTGGAGAATGATGGGCATATTGGACGTGTACAAGAGCTTGATCGGGTAGCTGCCTTGCCCTTGTGGGGAGTTCTTTGATTTAAGAGGCAATACAACGTGGAAGCCTTGGAAGTAGACAAAGATGAGGAAGACCAAGACTGTTGCAAGAAAATTTGCAACGTTTGGAAGGCTTGTCGGATGCTTGACTTGGTTATCAGGTTATGGAAGAGCGAGATAAAGGCACCTTCAAACTCCGGTCCAGACCGTCCGATATTGTTGAATGTGACGGGGCTAAAGGCTTTCCATATAAAGCTCTCGCAGAGGCTAGTCGCTATGAAAAGGGAGATCGCGGAGCCAAGACCATACCCCTTTTGGAGAAGCTCGTCGAGACACTGAAGGATGATTCCGGCAAAGACAAGCTGGAGAATGATGAGAAGTGCATTTCCCACACCGAGCTGTGCAACTGGACCGTACATACCAGAGAGGACGTCTGTCACGGCTTGACCTAAGGCGATCAAGATGCCGAGAAGCTTCTGAGCAGCGTTCAAGAGAGCATGATCCTCCTCCTAGTTGGCCTGAATAATCCTTGAGCCAGTCAAGAGCTGCATCACGAGCCCTGATGTGATGATGGGACCGATACCGAGCTCCATGAGGGTGCCACGGCTCGATGCGAGAATGGCACGCATCCAGTAGAACGGATCCGCAGCGGTGGTAGAGTGGATACCGTATAGAGGAAGTTGACTACAAACGAGAAACACGAAGAGAGTGGTCAGGGTATAGATGACCTTCTCTCTCAATGGAACCTTCTTCTTCTTCTCAAAGGCACTCTGCACTTCTGGCAGATACGGCAAAAACGGCTTCACCATATGCAACACACGAAACCCTCCTCTTCCCATACTTGCGCTACGCTATTAGTAAAACAAAACAAAAATAGGTTTTTATCTTGTTCTTTCTTGTCTTCGATCGACCATGTGCATGCTTTTTATAATATTTTCACAATCTCCCTAACCTTACTGATAAGGGTTTATCCAGTTTCCTTTTTTTTCTCTAGTTTCATCTTCTTCATGTGTAAAAGGTTTGGATCGATATGTTTCTTTTGAGTATGCCCATAATGTTGAAGATAAGAATTAGTTATAAATAATATTTATCCTTTGTATCAATTAAATTATTATAGAGAAATTTCCCAAAATAACAATAACTTTTTTGTCATAAATATATTACACTAGGATCAAAATAATCAAAATATTTCATTAAGAAAGATAAGTAGACATTTATACTATCATGATTAATTAATCTAGACTTAAATTAAAAATTTGATGGGTGTGGTTTATGATTTAAAAAAAAAACTTAAAATTAAAAAACAATTAGAAAATAATTTTTAGATTACCGGATAAACTTTTGAAAACAAATTGACACAGTTTTTATGACACGAGTCCTCCTATTATTTGTGAAACAAATTTCTTAGTTTTTGTTCCAACTTGAATAGGCACATCGGTCCTTATCATAAGATGAATATAATAGGATTTGAAGACTCAAATTATCTATTCTATTAAAACTTGAGCATGGCCTGTTGATAAATGTTTAGTCCAACTATTTTTGTATATTAACCATTGGTTCCACCTATCAGTATATATTATATTCGTACATCTGTTTGCCTTTTGATAATATACGAGATTTTATTTCCTAAGAACAACATTACTGCAAGGACTTTAAGTTGAGTCCTTAGAATTTTTTATTAATATTGTTATGGTTAGGACATTGTTATGAGACTTTGTTAAACGTGGTGATTATTGGTAGGACTTTAATTTGTCCTTAGCTACATAAATTATTTATTTTAGTACATAGCAACATAGAATTAATGTGTTTAGGAGAAAACATATAACATTTTAAATTGTAAAAAATATGAAATAGACAAACATTTTATTCATTTCATAGAATATTCCAAATATTTTTATTATAAAAAACAGAAAATCATACAAACACCATAAATAAAACAAAACAAACATTTTATTCAATTCATATAAATTTAGAAATTATATGTCATTTGGAAGATGTCCAAACTTAGCTCATATATATTCAATCAAATCATTTTTTAATTGTTGATGGGTTTGTCTATTCCGAAGACTTGTTCGACGATCCATTGTATTGCCGAGATGTGAAGGCATATTGACTGAAAATAAATCCTCTTCTTCTCTTTCTTGAAATTCAAAAGCGTTATACTGAGTGAATGATGATCGTTCATCTTCGATATGAAGTATTATACAAGCTCTCATAATATTTGATATTTTGTCTTTATCCCATAACTTAGATGGATTTTTGACAACGACAGATCTAGATTGCAGGACTCCAAAGGCACGTTCAACATCTTTTCGAACAGCTTCTTGGGTTTTAGCAAATGATGAATTCTTCGGACCTTGTGGTAGTTTGATAGATTGAACAAAAGTCGCCCATTTCAGATAAATACCATATGTCAGATAATAAGCCATATCGTACTCCGCTCCGTTGACATTAAACTTTACTTATGGTGCTATTCCGTTAATAATGTCATCAAAAACAGGTGATCGATCAAGAATATTAAGATCGTACATAGTACCTGGAGCTCCAAAAAAGGCGTGACATATCCAGAGGTCATATGAAGCCACCGCCTCCAAGAAAATTGTTAGTTTTCCGGTTCCTCGTGAATACATTCCTTTCCGAGCGGTGGGAAAATTCTTCCACTCCCAATGCATACAGTCAATTCTTCCAATCATCCCTGGAAATCCACGTTGTTCTCCGATATGGAGTAATCTGGCCAGATCCTCCAGTGTGGGACGCCTTAGGTATTCATCACCAAACAGGAGGATTATTCTGGCGGTAAATTAGAGCAAACATTTTCGAGCTGTTGTTTTGGAAAGTTTGACATATTAGTTAACCGTGTCAGCCCCAGCACCATATACCAATTGACGAATTGCTGCGTTACATTTTTGTAGAGGTGATAGACTAGACCGTCCGAGTGCATCTTGTGTTTGATGAAAATACTCTAATTCTGCCGAGAGACGATGCACAATACAAATGAACAATGATTTATTCATTCGAAACCGTTGCCAAAATAAATTGCTCGAGTACGGCGGAGTTTCAGAAAAATAATCATTCCACAATTGATTGTGGCCTTCCTCCCGGTGTCTGTCGATAAAAACACGTTTTTTTGGTATTTTGGTTCCGGAATACGAGCATAGTTGTTAAAAAATTCTTCAAATGGGGTATCAAGATCAATATCATCGCCATTATCTTGGTGGTGTTGATAATGAGAAGATGATGCCATTTGAAATGAAAATATAAAGAGAGGTTGGATTTGTGTATTTCAAATGAGAAGAGATATCTCATATATATAGCTAAAGGAGTTGTAGTTGTGATTTTGATGTAAGAAACACCCGTGATACTTATTTTTTTTAGAATCATTCATCTTGTGAATGTTGCTTGTTTTCTTGTTGAAGAAACATGACAAAAAAAGTGGTTACTAAACTCAAAAGGGACAAAGAAATATGATGTACCAACTTGCCTACCAAGATCAACACCCGTGGACTTTTGTTTAACATAGTTTGTGATTGTCTTTTACTTAGACACAATTGATATAATAAATAAACTTATTTTTATTGAGCCTAACCTTGATAAACTTCATATTATACATAAACAACTGAAACAACGTGCGGAAACTGCTGCAACATAAGGCTACTTGACCATGAGTACAATGGCTATGATCACTAATAGAAAAACCATAACCCCTAACGAATTCATCCCTTTTTTCCAACCTAGTTTTTTCTTTTTACCTAATTCACCACAAATCTTCTCAAGCCTAGCGAGCTTCTGCTCAATCTCATCATGTAGCTCTTTCACCCGGTTAAGATGTGACTCATAGTCAGTAACAAATAATAGAGAATCTACCTTTTGAGACAGCAGGCCACACTGTGTACACATAGCTCTCATCTCCTCCATCACCGCGACGTCCCACCACTTCCAGACATGGCAATCTCCGTCATCCCTGTTCTCACAGGTGTAAAACCTTCTCCCATGATCAGTTCTTGTGTAAAATGTCTCTACAACCGGTTGGCCACCACAGTAGCATTCCTTCGGGAAGCCAAACTCAACCTCTGGCTGCAGAGGGTACACAACCTGCGCGGCATCAATCTCAGCTTGGTCCAGCATGATATCGAATTATGTTTCGCTGTATCCACTGTCTGCTGAGTTCTCACCATAGTCCTCCGACTCTGAAGGCTGCATGTAGCTATAATCCAGCCCCATTTCTTCTGTAACCTGCAAACAATAAAACACATAAGTTTTTAACTTTATGAAACATAACTCATGGCAACAGAATCAGGCATTAACTTAATACATAACTCAACGCAAGAGAATCAAATAAAGAAGCATTATATTAGACAATACTTGTTCCCATTACATAACATCACAGAACATAGACATCAGAGAACACTATAAATAAACTCAACGCAAAAGAAACAATAGGATTAACTTAGACGCAACACAACCACGAAAAACAAACATTGATTTTTTTTTGAGAAACTAGAACAACTCAGCAAGGAGTTTATTTTTGACAGCTTCTTCACTCTCACTAAGTGGATCCTTTCTAGCAAGGAGAGTGTCTAGTATAGCAAGCTTCGACAGTTTCTCCCTTTTTTGCCAAATCTTCCATCTTGAGCTCCCACATGTTCCTATAGACTTCAACAGCCTTTCCTTTACTATTCCTTCGGGATTTTACAGCCTTTATACCTTCAGGCCTTATCTCTCCCTCACCAACGTTGGTATTTGAAGGTTGGGAAGCGTCCTAACAAGTCTTTCTCTTTGAACTGACAGCAGCTTTAGGAGGGTTCAGGTTTATTCACTTCTGTTCATACCTCAACACACACCACGCATGCTCAAGGGTAAACTTGGTTCCGTTATTAAGGTAGAAGATATCATGAGCCACCTTTAGAACGTCATTGTCACTCTGATCGCTGGTAACTTGTCTCTCTACTGCGGCAAATGCGGCACATAACTTGTTAGTATGATCATTTATTTTGTGCCACCTTTGCTTACAATGGACATGCTTTGTCTTCTCACCAGCCTCTGTAGCACCTGCGAAGTACTCTCCTATGCGTTTCCAGAAGGTGTCTGACTTCTGTTCATTCCCAATAACAACATCCTTTGATGTGTTTAGCCAGTCACTGATGAGAACCTCGTCATCAGCAGGAGTCCATTTCTTTCTCACCACACACTCCATTGGTGTGGCATCAGGTTGGGATGGAGTCTCAGATTGCTGCGAATTGAAAGGAGGTATTTCTGAGCCTCCAATGTTTACACTATAAGGAAAACTTCCAGGAGGAAAGTTTTCCTGAACAACATATTGTTGTTGACTCGTAAGAAGGCCAACGTAGCCAGAGTATTGGCTACTTTGGTTTCTGGAATCCATAGCAAGAAAGACAGAGCAAAGAGAATTCCAAATAAAGCTGAAGGATGAGCTTTGAGGAGAGTAACACGTTTTGGTTTTGAAGAGAAATAAAGAGTTAACATGGAATTTAATAAAAGAAACTGTAAAAAGTAATAACTATCAACCACCTAACCATTATCTACCAAAGTCTAATCAGACTTAATACCGTACTTGAACTACAAAGCTATCACACTCTCATTTACAATGCAATAAGATTTAATGGATATTTGGTTTAATTTACTTCAAAACAGAACTAAAAACCAATCAAATTTCGTTCTAAACTACAATGTGTGATCAGAAGCAACTGTAACAAGCAATAATAGACAGAAAAACATAACTAAAAAGCAATCTAGTTACTACAAAACCAAACTACAACCTATCAACTCATGTTTGTCCATCGCATACACCATATGCAACACACGAAACCCTCCTCTTCCC